TTCAAATAAATAAGTAATTTTTCTTTAAAAGAAATTGTCTTTGTGTATATTAGTATAGTTTTGGAGGGAGGCAAATTATTGCCTGGCTTCCACCCTCAGTAGGGTCTCAAGGATGCACATGATGTGCTTGGAGAGAAAATATTTACAGCTGTTGGGGCTCTAGCTAGGATCTACATCAGAAGACACAGGTTGACAGTGCCCCTAATGTGACCTCCTGGATGACTGGTAAGCCACAGGATTATCAGTTGTCTTTGAATAATTGTGTCTGTCCTTTTTTTTTTAGGGATTGCCTGAGAGCAGTTAGTCTGACCTATTCTGTTTGTCCATATACCAGTTGCTGGGAGCATTGATTCATTACTGAGATTGGGCATAGGGTAGATTTCTGGAGGTAATATGGGGAGGTGCTGCTGTTTCTGATAGACTGTTGTAAAGTTCAGTGGAGTGGAGAGCCAGTGGTAGTCAAATCCATCTGATGGGAGGTGGCAGACTGAGCAGCTAGGACAGCCACACCAGGGCACTTTCCTTGGATAGGATGTCTCCCCAGGAGCAATTCTGAAGAAGAAAAGACCATTGGTGTCTCTCCTAATCCCATACCTCTAAGAGTGTGAGGTGTTTCTGCCTCAGGCACCTGCTTGTTGCTTTCTAGCTCATGAAATCATGGTGTCCCGTTTCAGTAGCTATAACTTCACCATTTTGTAGTGATCCAGAATGGCTAGATGCAATAGGGACCAGAAGTTTACTTTTACAGACCTCTGTATTCAAAACTGAGAAACCTACCTAGGGGGTGTACAAAAAAGGCCTACCTACAGTTGTTATTAGAGGAAAGAAAGATGCTTTGTGTCTAGGAATGGTAATGGCACGATCCTGAATTTTCACAGTAGATCTATTCCCCTACCCTTTAGCCCTCTACTTATTAGCCAAGAAGCAACTGAAAGGAGATGATCTTTTACTTTCCCAAGATTTTTAAAATTAACTTGAAAGATTGACAGAGAGAGGGACATACATACACACACAGAAAATATTCCATCCGCTGGTTCATTCCCTAAATGGCTGCAATGGTAAGGGGTGGTCAGGGCTGAAGCCAGGAGCCTGGAACTCCATCCAGGTCTCCCACATGAGTGGCAGGGGTCCAAGCACTTGGGTCATCTGCTGCTGCTTTCCGAGGCACATCAGCAGAGAGCTGGATTGGAAGTGGAGCAGTTGAGACTTGAACCAGGCTCCAGTATTATAGGTGGTTTAACCTCCTGCTGTACCACAACACCAACTCTGAGATGATCTTTTATTAAATATTTTTTTATTTTATTTAAAAGTCAGAGTTACAGAGATCATCCATCTACTCCCCAAGGTGAGCATGACAACCAGGGCTGGGACAGGCCAAAGCCAGGAGCCAGGAGTTTCATCCATGTCTCCCACATGGAAAGTAGAGGCCCAGGCACTTGGGCCATCTGCCATTGCTCCTTCCCAGGGACATCAGCAGGGAATTGGATCAGAAATGGAGTGATCAGTGCACGAATCAGCACTCATATGGGATGCCAGTGTCATAGGCGGTGGCTTTACCTGCTGTGCCACAGTGGTGGCCCCTGAGATGGCCTCCTCCTAAGGACAGCCATGATCAGTGTCAGCCATCTTACTTTAAGGTGTATGAAGCAGGAGGAGGTGACAGAAGTGGAATCATGATCAGCCGTTGTTGACCATCTTTTATGATAAAAGGTATATTGATGTCAGACTGTTTATGGTTCAGAAAGCTGAAAACAACAGATTAGTCTCCAAGGCCACAATATGTGGACACCATGGGCCGACTGGTGATCAACAAACCAGGAAGATGATGTAGTGGGGGCGACTGCATAGGCAGAGGCAGAAGGGGTGGGGAAATCTCTGTCTCCTCAGTTTTTCTGTGAATTTAAAATTGCTCTAAAAAATGAAGTCTTTTTAAAAGCAATTAGGAACTGGCAGTAGTTTGAGCCACCACTGATAGCCTGAAGAGTTCTAATCTGCCAAGAGTCAAAGGGGGCGGTGCTCCTCGTCCTCCTCCCCCTAGAAATCACAGGTCTCTCCTGCTGTGCTGTTCTCAGCATCAGAAACGTAGCCACACTTGATCAGCAGCTGGATTTCAGTCTAAATCAGAGAATGGGCCCTTACAATGGGAACCTACATGAATGACCCAGATAAGTCAATTAGTACTTGAAATTTGTTTTCAATTTGCAGCCCCGTAGAGGGTATCTTTAATCTGCCTGTAATTTTCCAAGTGGCAAACCAAACAGCTGGGCCATTGGCAGCAACCCCAGAATCTGAGTTCTGCCTACTGAACAGAGATGTCTCCTTTCAATTTAGCATAATTAGCTCTGGAGGTGAACAGCCACTGAGCCCAGCAGGCACCATCAGCTTTCAGCTTCTTCTCTGAATCAAGGACTTCACAGATCCCATAGCCTTACTTCAGGCAGTGGAGTGGGAATAAAGTTTCCTCTCAGAGCGGGTGCTGCCAAGATGCCAGGACTGGTGGTGTGGCACAGTGGGTTAAGCTGCCACCTGTGATGCTAGCATCCCACATCTAAGCACCAGTTTGAGTCCTTTCTGCTCTGCTTAAATCCGGCTCCCTGTTAATGTGCCTAAGAAAGCAGTGGAAGATGACCAAGTACTTGGCCCATGCACCCAGATGGAGTTCCTGGCTCCTGGCTTTGACCTGGCCAAGTCCAGCCCCAGCTGTTGCAACCATCTGGGGAGGGAACTGATGGATGGAAGACCTCGTTCTCTCTCTCTGTCTCTCCCTCTCTCTCTAGCTCTGCCTTTCAAATAAATAAAATAAATCTTTAAAAAAGAAAAATGACATCAAAATGCTGTAAGGGCTAGGCTCACTGTGTTATTCAATATATCATTTCCATCTAGCAGACCAGGCTTTTCAAGTCCCTCTCATCTTTGTTAGGTATGGAATTCAAGTTGACCCATACCCCTCCTGGGGCTCTCAGGCCAGAGTGTCAGGAGGCCTCCTTGAAGAAGGTATTCAGGACCCAAAAGGTAACTCTGGGTAAAGGCCACTTGCCTTAGCCAGAGACTCCCGTTAGTAGAATCAGCACCGCAGAGCTTCGTGCTGTCCCTGATACCCATGGCGCTCTTGCTGAGGTGTCTCACCTACCACTGCTGGTGGAGGGATTTAGTGTAGCTGGTTGTGATATGTCAATGCTACTTTCTTTGTTTTGACAAGTGTACCATGTGTGTAGTGTGAACACAGAGATTGGGTGAAGGAACCCCCTTCTGTCTCTCTAACTCTTTTGTAAATATAATTATTCCAAATTAAAAGCTTATTTTTGGATGACTCCCCAGAATTCCCAGGTAAGATCAGATCAAACCCTTTAGGATGGCATTTACTGCTAATTCCAGCCTATCTATTTCTTACCACTTTCTCACACAGGTGTGGTACCTTAGCTGTTTTTTTTTTTTTTTTAAGATTTATTTATTTGACAAGCAGAGTTACAGACAGACAGAGAAAAAGGTCTTCCATCCGATGGTTCACCCCCCAAATGACCCCCTAAATGGCTGCAATGGCTGGAGCTATGCCGATCCGAAGCCAGGAGCCAGGTGCTTCCTCCTGGTCTCCCATGCGGGTGCAGGGCCCAAACACTTGGGCCACTCTCCACTGTACTCCCTGGGCCACACAAGAGAGCTGGACTGGAAGAGGAGCAGCCGGGATTAGAACCGGCACCCATATGTGAGGCCGGCGCCACAGGCAGAAGATTAACCTAGTGAGCCAGGGCGCCGACCCCTGGTACCATAGCTGTTAATTCTACTCTGTTCACTTAGAGTGTCTTGCACATGCCTCAGCCTCTTGTGCTGTACCTTCTTTGTGTGAAATGTTCTGATCACACTTTTCATCTGGCAAAATTCAAGCCAAACTTCAGGGCTCTGTCTCACTCTTTCCTGATGTCTCATCCACAGCATTTATATATACACACACACACTCACACACACACACACACACACATTTCTGCTTCAGATTCTTCAAAGGCTAAAATTGCAGATGCTAGGGTTGTCTTCTAGAGTGTGAATTCCTTGAAGATAAGAATAATGTTTTATTCTTTTCATTGCCAGTGTTAAGCTTGTGGCCCATTTCCAGTGAATGGTATGCTGAGTTGTTAAATGAGTGAATAATGAAAAGCCTTAGGGCTACACTGTATATGGTTATGATAGAGATCCACTCTGTGTCACTCAAGTATGAAATATTATTAAATGGACATTTGTGATTCATGTTTACATTCTAGAATTTTTTGTAAGATTTGTTTATTTCAAAGGCAGGGTTATAGAGAGGAAACAGATCTTCTTCCATCAGCTGGTTCACTCCCCCAGATGATTGCAATGGCCATGACTGAGCCAGGCCAAACCCAGGAGCTAGGAGCTTCATCAAGGTCTCCCATGTGGGTGGCAAGGGCCCAAGCAATTGGGCCATCTTCTACTGCTTTCTCAGACACGTTAGCTGGATCACAAGTGGAACAGCTGGAAGCCGGCATTGTGGCAAAACAGGTAGAGCTACTGCCTGCAATGCCAGCATCCCATATGGGCGCTGGTTTGTGTCCCAGCTGCTCTACTTCCAATCCAGCGCCCTACTAATGTAATGGGAGAGCAACAGAATATGGCCCAAGTGCTTGGGCCCCAGCTGCCCACACAGGAGACCTGGAAGAAATTGCTGACTCGTGGCTTCTTGCCTGTCCCAGCCCTGGCCATTGTAGCCATCTGGGAAGTGAACCAGCAGATGGAATTCTCTCTCTCCCTCTCCTTCCCCACACCGCCCCCCGCCCTGGTCTCTGCTTCTCTGTATAATTCTGACTCTAAAATAAATAAATAAATATTTTTAAAAAAGTGAAGTAGAACAGCCAGGACCTGGGACTTGACCTGGTGGCGTCACAGGTGGCAGCTTATTCTGTGCCACAATGGCAACCTCCCAGAACCGTGTTTTGAACATTGTCCTGTGCACACTCTCACCATTTCTTTGTCTTTCATTTGTGTTTTAGGAGGGCCAAATATGTGGGCTATCACCTCTGAAGAACGGACTAAGCATGACAAGCAGTTTGACAACCTCAAACCTTCAGGAGGTTACATAACAGGTTTGTATTGATAAGTTTTTGTTTTATTTATGAATTATGCTCCTTTTCATAGAATGTCTTGTTACTTTTTTTAAAAAAATTTATTTGAAAGGTTATAGACAGAGAGAGAGAGACAGAGAGAAAGGTCTTCCCTCCTTTGGTTCACTCCCCAAGTGGCCACCATGGCTGGCGCTGTGCCAATCCGAAGCCAGGAGCCAGGTGCTTCCTCCTGGTCTCCCATGCGGGTGCAGGGGCCCAAGCACCTGGGCCATCCTCCACTGCCCTCCCAGGCCACAGCAGAGAGCTGGACTGGAAGAGGGGCAACCGGGACTAGAACCTGGCACCCATATGGGATGCTGGCGCCGAAGGCGGAGGATTAGCCAAGTGAGCCATGGCGCCGGCCCCATTACTTTCAATTGGACTGCCATCAAATTTGTTGTTTACCCATTGTGTCCCATCATTCTATATATAGGGAGGATACCTATAAAAGCTAAAATTGAGCAGTAAATATATTACTTATGATAACTTTTAGATAAATAATATGTTGTTGAAATATTTGCAGAAATGAAAATTTGAAACTCAGTGGGTTAAGTGATAGAATTCATATCAGAATTCTAACACTTCAAACATAATAGTAACTTTCTATTTTTCCTGGAACTGTCTTTTTAAAGATTGATTGATTAATTCAAAAGGCAGAGAAACAGAGAGGGAGAGGGAGAAGGGGAAGGGATGGGAGGGTGGGAATACAGGGGAAGAGAGAGAGAGATCTTCTATCCTCTAGTTCACTACAGGGGAAGAGAGAGAGATCTTCTGTCCTCTAGTTCACTACAGGGGAAGAGAGAGAGATCTTCTGTCCTCTAGTTCACTCCCCAAAGGGCTGCAGCAGCCAGGTCTGGGCCAGGCTGAAGTCAGGAGCCAGGAACTTCATCCTGGTCTCCTATATGGGTGGCAGAGACCACGGACTTGTGCCATCTTCTGTGCCTTCCTAGGTACCTTAGCTGGACGTTCAATGGGAAGCAGGGTAGTTGGGATCAAACTCCCACTCTGATTGCGATGCCAGCATCTCAAGTGGCCCCTTAGCCCACTGCACCACACACTGGCCTTCTAGAACTGTCTTAATTGGTTTTAGGTTTGGCATAGAGAAAGATCTTTTTCTGAGTACTAAATGATAGCCAAGAATTTCTGTTCGTCTAGTTTCACATGTTAACATTATACCTAGAATGTTTTACATTTATTTCTAAGATCAGTTTCCTGGAAAATAATCTAGAATTCTTACCCTTAAATGTATTTTCATAAAGCTAGCCTCTCTGTCTCTGAGCCTATACCAAGCATTTACTGTTGATGCCAGCCCTTGTTTTGAAGGACCACCAGAGCCAAAGGAAGGAAATTTAGATGTGTCTTTGAAATTTTTTTCTCTAAGGCACTTTAGTACTTTATATGCTGTTGTGTATACAATACAACTATACTCGTCAAATTTGTACTATGCCCTGTGCTATGCTAAATATATTTTATTTATCCTTTACAACAGTTCTATGAGGTAGGTACTGTTGTGTGTTTTTTGTGTGTATGTGTACACACATCTATGGTGAACTTGAAACAGACATGTTATATAACTTGCCTAAGATTATAAAGTATTGGTTTGGTCTTTGAAACTATTCAGCCTGACTTTGGAATCCTTCCTCTTAGCCATTACAGTTTTATGTTATTTACGTACTCCTGTAATAACTGCCCTACCTGATAGCAGGATTTGATGACACTGCTTACAGGTTAATACCAGTCTACTTGCTGTTCATGGGTGCGGAAGACCCAACATTCCCGAGTTAGAGACACTGGACTTTGTTACCAATAGCACAGCCAGCACCATGAGCATCAGCATGTTTCTTTTGGCTTCATTTGTTCCCTCTGGACCACAAGGACGATGCAGAGAGCCCAGAGGATACTACACTTGCTATGGTTGTGTTCCAGGAGAGGAACACTGAGCTTGGGGAACCTGCCAGTCAGTAAAGCAAGTTTGTTTTTTGTCCCATTGGATAACATTGTATAATTCCTCAAGATTGCTCACTGCAAGCCCAATTCTGAAAAATGATCCAGGCAGAGGAAAATTGGGGTGTTGCATTCTTGGCATACACAGCAGGCCATGTAGGAATGTGAAGAAACCCATGGTGGGAGAGGGAGAGAGGGAGAGAGGGAGAGGGAGAGGGAGGAAGAGAAAGAGATCTTCTGTTTGCTATGCTAGTTCATTCCCCAAATGACTGCAACAGCCAGGTCTTTCCTGATGTATGTACATAGAACTCTATTATAGCATAGTATTTTTAATGATAAGTTTTATTAAATAGAATATTGTCAAGTAAGATTTCTCAACTGTGAGAAAATTCAGCTGAATAAAATATTCTTCTATCACTGATTTGTGTGTAATATAACTTCAGATGTGACTTTTGTTGTTTTAAAACATTGTCAGGGGCTGATGCTGTGGCGCAGTAGGTTAATCCTCTGCTTGCCGTGCTGGCATCTCGTATGGGTACTGGTTTATGTCCTGGCTGCTCCTCTTCCAATCCAGCTTTCTGCTATGGCCTGGGAAAGCAGTAGAAGTTGGCCCAAGTGCTTGGGCCCTTGGACCCATGTGGGAGACACAGAAGAAGTTCCTGGCTCTTGGCTTTGGATTGGCACTGCTCCAGCTGTTGCAGTCATTTGGGGAGTGAACCAGCAGAAGGAAGATCTTTCTCTTTGTCTCTCCCTCTCGCTGTTTGTAACTCTACCTCTCAAATAAATAAATAAATAAAATCTTAAAAATAATTGTTTAGGGCCGGTGTGACATAGTGGGTAAAGCTGCCACTTGCGATGCCAGCATCCCATACAGGTGCTGGTTCAAGTCCTGGATGCTCCATTTCCTATCCAGCTCCTTGCTAATGTGGTTGGGAAAACAGTGGAAGATGGCCCAAGTTCTTGGGCCCTGTACCCACGTTTGAGACTGGGAAGAAGCTCCTGGCTCATGGCTTTGGATGGGTGCAGCTCCAGCCATTGTGGCCTTTTGGGGAGTGAACCAGCAGATGGAGGATCTCTCTCTTTCTGTCTCTCTCTCTAATTCTGCCTTTCAAATAAATTTTAAAAAAACTTTAAAAAAATCTGCCTTCTATTAAAGTAATGTAAATGATTGTATCTGTTTATTCTTTAATGATTAGAATTAAAATTATCATTATTCAGAGGCATTGGAATAATTCCATCTACTAATGTGCTGCTTGGTTTTTGTTTCTGTTTCCTCAGGTGATCAAGCCCGTACTTTTTTCTTACAGTCAGGTCTGCCAGCTCCTGTTTTAGCTGAAATATGGTAAAGTGTTTTCTTTTTAAAAGTTCTGATAGTCTGTTGATTTTTTATAATTCAACATTAACAGAATTGTTTTTAGTTATGCTCTTGTTGCTAAATAAGAATATTTCTTCTGTTTTTGGAAGATAAATTCTATTGAGCTAATTGTGAAAAATCATTGGAGTTTTATTCTATAGGACAATTTTGGGAAGAAGATATATACAATATCACTGAGAAACATTTCTTTATAATTTGGCAGGGTCTCAAAATCTTCTTTCTGTTATTTTGTTGCATTTCTATTATTATCTATAAATCTAAAATTAGCCCTCCCTTCCCTTGTAACTGCTTTACAGACATTATTCTCTGTAATACCTGAGATTTTGTTTTTTCATGTTTGTACAATTAATACCAAACCTTACCTCATTTTTCTTCCCACTTGGAATATCCCCATGCCTGGCCAAGAGCCAGGCACATAGCAGGCATTCAGTACTATTTGAACAAATGAGTAAAATAAAGTTAGGATTCTTATACTCTTAAATAAGTTCTTTCTATCTACACTGGTAGAATTCAGCACAGAATTGTCTAGGTTCTATATAGACAGGCAGAGTTTATTAGATGACATCGTGTAAATGCTCTGTGATTGTCAACCTCAAAAGTAATGTTAATTTTCTCATAACAATTCCAAATACCAATCTACCCACCTCTTGTTCTTTTAGGGCTTTATCAGATCTGAACAAGGATGGGAAGATGGATCAGCAGGAGTTCTCCATAGCCATGAAACTCATCAAACTGAAGCTTCAAGGCCAACAGTTGCCCGTGGTTCTCCCTCCTATTATGAAACAACCTCCAATGTTCTCTCCTTTAATTTCTGCTCGTTTTGGTATGTGTTTATCAATTTAATTCCTTTATTTGATAGTTAAACTTCATTTCTATGCATAATATTTGGGGATTAGAAGAGGGCTTGTCAGCACAAAATGACAGTCCCCAGACTCTAAGTAAATTTTCATGTCTAAGATAGTATTTTTTTTTAAAGATTTATTTATTTGAAAGTCAGAGTTACAGAGAAAGAGAGAGAGAGAGTTCTTCCATCTGATGGTTCACTCCCCAATTGGCCGCAATGGCTGGAGCTGTGCTGATCCAAAGCCAGGAGTCAGGAGCTTCTTCAGGGTCTCCCATGTGGGTACAGGGGCCCAAGGACTTGGGTCATCTTCTATTGCTTTCCCAGGCCATAGCAGAGCTGGATGGGAAGTGGAGCAGCTGGGACTAGAACTGGTGCCCATATGATCTGCTGCACCACAGCACCAGCCCCCTGAGATAGTATTTTATAAAAATGTTATTTATATATTTATTTGAAAGTCAGAGTTACTTAGAGAGAGGGAGAGAATGAGATTGTCTATCTGCTAGTTCCCTCCCCAAATGGCTGCAATGGCTGGAGCTGAGTCAATTCGAAGCCAGGAGCCAGGAGTTTCTTCTGGATCTCCCATGTAGGTACAGGGGCCCAAGAACTTGGGCCATCCTCCTCTGCTTTCCCAGGCCATAGCAGAGAGCTGGGTCAGAAGTGGAGCAGCCGGGACTTGAACCAGTGCTCATCTTGGATGCCAGCATCACAGCCTGCTGCGCCACAATGCCAGCGCCCTGAGATACTTAATGTTGTCTTAGCTAGGGTGTTGTGTGTTCCGGATTTCCAGGCACAGTTCTGGTTCATGCCTCTTCCCTCGACATCAGGTCCAGTTTGTGTCATCTTCCACAACTCCCAATTGAGTTATAAGTTATATAGTCCCCCTAGTTATAGCCAGTCCTAAATACAAAGGTACTTTACAAAGTTTGTGGAGAAATGTAGTAAAATGATCATTTTAGGGGAATGCATTTGGCTTGGTGGTTAAGATGCCCTCACCTCAGAGTATCTGAGTTCGATACCTGACTCCAGCCCCTGATTCCAGCTTCCTGTAAATGCAGGCCCTGGGAGGCAGTAGTGATGGTTTAAGTCATCAGGATTCGACCATCTGTGTGAGAGACTTGCATTGAGTTCCTGGCTCCTGGCTTCGTTGTGGGCAGTAGGGTAGTAAACTGTCAGGTGGGAGCTTTGTCTTTCTATATCTCTCTTCCTTTCAAATAAATAAACAGAATAAAAGATAAGTTTGTTTAAGTGTAAAAATTTTTATATAGAGCTAATTTTTTGAGTTCAAAAGCAATGAACTTTAAAAGTTTTTTATTTATGTGTTTTATCATTTATCTGAGAGACACTGAGACAGAGAGAATGTTCATCCACTGGTTAAGTCTCCAGTTGCCCACAGTGGTGCGGGCTGAGCTGAGATTGGAATAAGGAGCTGGGAACATAATGCAGGTGTCCCATGTGGAGGGCCAGTACCCAACTACTTGAGCCATCCCTTACTGCCTCTCAGGGTACACACCAGCAGGAAGCTGGAATCTGGAATGGATCCAGGACTCCCTCCCAGATATTCCAATATGGGATACAGGCATCCATAGTGACATCTTAACCAGTAGGCCAAATGCTTACCCCATGCTATAAAAGATTTTGAAATCTCTGAATATGTGGAGTCTCCAAAAAGTTCATATAAAATGCATGTCATGGAAAATTTGTGATTGAATTAAAATTTGTTGTGCCTGAATAAATCTACTGTTTAATCCTATTTTCCACTTATGGAAAAAACCTTGCACTATTAGTTTTTTGTGAGTAACATAGAAAAAATTAAAAAAATTTAAACTCACTTGAAATGGTTTCATTTGGGAGTAATTTAAAATTATGCGTAAATAGAGATTTCTTTAATTTAAAGGTTAATTGGCCAGCTAAGTTTAGGGCCCAACATTGCAGACTATATACTAATCAATTTTCATATTCCTCATGGATAACCAGCTGATGCATTTTCTGTTTTGATTAGTCAATTCACATAATTACATGCAAGAGGCACTCATTTTAAATGATATCTCTATATATATGAAACATGTTCTTTCACTCCAGATGCTAGATTTTTATGACTCAAAATTCTTTCACCATTGCAATGAATGAACTCTAGAGATAAATACCAAATTATTGTTTGATCTTATGTTCATATTGTACATGGTATTCTGCAGTTAATAAAGGAATGAAAGTCACCACTTTGTTCCTTTAAAGAAATGTTTTTATGTTCAAAGATATGTTATGTACAAGAAAAGTGAACTGTTTGGCATGCTTTCTTGGAAATAATTAATATGCTTGAACGGGCCTCCAAAATACTCATTAAAACCTTTTGTGTTTGTTTATTTGGAGAGTGTGTGTGCATGTTAGTCAGATAACTTAGCAGCACTGCATTTATTAACCTTGTACAAAACCTCACATTTGGCCAGGTAATACCTTCTCCCTTTGAGGATACTAATATTTAATTGAAAAAGGCTGCTTAGTTTTTTCCTGAAGAGAGAAGAGAATCTTTAACTCCTTGACTTCTTTTCTTAGTTCATACAGGTTAGAATATCAGTATTAAAAGCAGCTGTTTACCTCCCGCACTGCTGGGTCAATGCTGCATTAGTGACTTTTTAAGGATAGTTTGTCCATGATGTTCTATAAACATTGAGTCTGCTCAATATCCTATAAACTTGGGTTTGGGTGTGTGTTTAATAATTAATTGACGAGCATGAGGAAATATGTTTTCTTTTGTCCTTAGGGATGGGAAGCATGCCCAATCTGTCCATTCCTCAGTCATTGCCTCCAGTTGCACCCATGGCTACCTTGTCCTCTGCGACTCCAGGGACCAGCCTTCCTCCTCTAATAATGCCTGCTCCCCTAGTGCCTTCCGTTAGCACATCGTCATTACCAAATGGAACCCCTAGCCTCATTCAGCCTTTATCCATTCCTTATTCATCCTCAAGTAAGTACTTTGTGTCTACTGACTCAGTGTTTCATGTGAAAAGAAGACACTTTTATATTTGTATCCAAAGAGATACACATTTCCTTTGTACTTTCAATATTGTTTAGTGTGAACCTTTTCCTGGTTCTTTCTTTTTCTGTTTTTGTTTTTGTTTTTAGCATTGCCTCATACATCATCTTACAGTCTGATGATGGGAGGATTTGGTGGTGCTACCATACAGAAGGCCCAGTCTCTGATTGACTTAGGATCCAGCAGGTATGAGCATTTAACACAGCAATGTATGCTTCAATAAGGAGTCGTAAGCTTTGAGCTTATCCAGCTTTTACTTTATAAAGGCCAAATATAAGTACTTAAATAAACTCACTACTTAAAACTCACATAAAATAAATTTTAAATTTTTATAATTGAATGTCAGTGGTATTTTACTTTAGAAAAAAGTTTATGTAAACAAAATAATCCTACTTTATTTTAATTAGTCATTTTTTTTGGCCCAGTGTCAGGTAATTTTCCTTCTAAAAATGTATTTACATTTCCTAAAATGTATCATAATCATTGTACATTATTAATTTTCTTTTTGAGAAAAATCTGATTGTCTGGGTAAATTTTTGAAAGCATCAAATCATTGTTCTTTACGTCTTACAAGTCATGTTACTATACTCTTCAAAGCTGTGTACAAAGAATTCTCTCTGACCCAGATAAAAAGCATTTGTATCCAGATGAGCACTCACTGACACCGTGACTTTGTTTCTTCTCAACATCACTGAGGCACAGCTTACCCTTCTAAAAGAGGGAGAATAATGTCTTTTTAGTTTGTTGAGAGGGTTAGAAATAGTAACTGTGTACAGGGCCTGGCACTAAATAGATTCCTGCTATATGGTAGTCCTATGGAGTTCTAGGCTTTAGCTATTACTTGTTTTACTAAGAATAATTAATTGCTTAAATTTAAATGTTTTAAAAATATAAAATATGAAATAAATTACAATATTTTATAAAATATGATTTTTGGTATCTTTGCCTTATAAAGTTTAATTAAATGTATTTTATTTAGTAACAGAAATTTTAAATACATTTCATCGTAGCTCAACCTCCTCAACCGCATCACTCTCAGGGAACTCGCCCAAGACTGGGACCTCAGAGTGGGCAGTTCCTCAGCCTTCAAGATTAAAATATCGGCAGAAATTTAATAGTCTTGATAAAAGCATGAGTGGATACCTCTCAGGTAAGCACATACAGCTCTTAAGACTGCGGGACAACCAGAGCCTTTTATATGGACTTCCATTGAAGAACTTTATGAATTTGTGCTTTGTAGCTAACCCAAAGTTTTAACATCCCCAAAATTTAGTAGGTATTTGCTAACTGCTCTGAGTTGTGTAGGAATTTAAAGATGGATTCAACTTGATTGCTTGCTTCAGAGCTCCTACAGTCAAGTTGAGCATACAGGCGCACATTCAAGTGTTTAGAAAAGACCTGTCCCCAGAGATGATCAGACCTTGTCTTCTAACTTTACAATTAACAGAGAACTTCAAGTCACAAGGGTGAATGTGTGGAACCTAGCTTCAGCTTGCTTTGCTCCTGAATCCTCCTGGTTGGGCCTGCATTTACTAAAACCTCAACTGCTCTAGCCCAGATGGATGCCTGTAGGACATTGGAGTCCAGGCTAGAACAGTGTCCAAGCTTTACTAAGTGAGGATAGTGAAGATTGGAATGTAAACTGAGGGTAACAGGCAAGAAGAGTTCTCACCTCTTAATTCCTGTCCTCCCTCATCACTCAGCAAGAAATTATTATTTAGGACAAAGTAAAACAGTGTTTGAAAATAATGTTGCTTTTAAAGTATCAGGGAACATAGAATGAGAGGTATTAATGCTGACATGATTGTATGGCACATCTTACAGGAAGGGAACGTTTATGCTTATGAAAGCAGGAGGTAGGATTTGAACAGATACTGATTGAAGATGGTGACATTTTGAAGATGACAGAGAAGAAATTCTAAGTGCACAAAGTACATTGCATGACTGAAGATGGAAAGCAGTCTATGAACTAGGAGTACGGGGTCACCAGCTCTGCAGTGGGGCAAGAGCACACTAAACTTTTGGAATTGATTAGACAAAGAAAAATCTACTCTCTTTTCTTTAAGATACATAATTATGTAATGCACTACCTCCTACAGAGGAGCACAGAAGAAAAGTCAAGGAACAAGATAGCTTAAAGGTGTTTAATGATGACCTAGTTCTTAAAGTGTGTGGAAGGTTCTCGGGGGCTGTTTTATTTACTTCAGAACTTACATATGCACTATATTTTATGTTCCTAATATTACATAACCAGGATTTCCTGTAGTTTTATTAAATTATATGCATATACTATACTGTTAAACCTCTTCTTTTTACATGTCTGAGTTGACAAGTGTATTACCATCAGCGGTGTTTTGCACTGTGTGTTCGTTTTACTGGCAGTGGTAGTTGCTGGGGCTGGTGCTGTGACATAGGCAAGTTAAGCTGCCATCTGCAGCACCAATTTCCCATATGGGTGCCGGTTCTAGTTCTGGCTACTCCACTTCCAATCCAGCTCCTTGCTAATGCACCTGGGCAAGGAGCGGAGGACGACCCAAGTGCTTGGGCCCCTGTACCCACATAGGAGACCTGGAGGAAGCTCCTGGCTCCTAGCTTTAGCTTGGCCCAGCTCCAGCCATTATGGCCATCTGGAGAGTGACCATCTGGAGAGTGATCAGATGAAAGATGTCTCTCTCTCTCTTTCCTTCTCTCTTTGTAACTCTATCTTCCAAATAAATAAAATAAAAACTTAAAAAAAAGAAAAAGGTAGTTATTGCTGGTGTTCTAAAACTGAGCATGAGCCCCAAGTAGGTGAGAGTGGGGCTAACCTGGACTTACACGTTTATGTCTCAAAGAATGTAGCAGTTAGTGATCTAATTTTCTTCTCTTTGCATCTCTCTTTCTCTTCCCCTAATCCCACACTCTTTATTTAGATTGATTCATTGGCTCAGCTCCTGCCAAGTCGTATATCTTCTGAATGCTCTTAGGCACTGGAATACAGAGGAGAAAGACATGGTCCATACCTTTGCGAGCACATGGTATAGCTCACATAATCACGGTACTGGACCAGTGGTTCACAGTGCTAATTAATACAGATGAGAAGACGACTAGCTCTGAGGAACAGGGTCTCACAGAAGATGATGTTTGAGGAGAACCTTAGAGGATAAGTAGACCTTAGAGGAACTGGCATGCTAGACAGAGGATAGAGGCTATCCCGAGGGTTACATGTTCAAGTGAATTTTCTTCAGTAAACATGTGCTGCTGGCTCTCTGGGGCCCTTTGTATTTTTCCAACTTTGCCTGAACACACAAAGCCCACTGCCAATACTCGTTTAACCATTTGCATTTACTCTCTTCTTTCTCCTGCTTGCTCTGTTGCCTAATGCTAAAGGATCTTCTCTAAGTTCTGTTTGTCCAGGAGCTGAAATATTAGTTACTGAACTTTCCCTCAGGTTTGAAATGTTGTTTCATTTCTCTTTATTAGAAGAAATACTCCTTTCAACACAAATACCTCCTTCAGTCTCACTTTTTACATTAAATCTGAGGAGTAATTAGTTGAGTGAAGCTGTGAACCATTTCCAGTGTTTTTCTATTAAATGGCCAGATCAAAAAATGGAATGAAAAAGATTACAGTTCCTTAGAAGCATTCTGCTGCATGTTGTACCCCATGGCAGCTTTGATGATCAGATCCTCTGTTTTCAGAGCTCCCTGGATTGATCAGATCGGCTGTGATTGGTTAGCTCTGCAGGAGGAGCTGTTGCTGAGAAAGAGTTGACAGATACCCTGCTGGTGCAGTTGTTTTGGGTGGGCTTTGCCTCGGGCTGTTCCCAGAATAGGGGCTCTTTTGGTACTCAAGGCTCCATCACCTGAAAGTGAGAAGTGCAACACCTGCTTTACTGACAAGGAAGCATCCCTGGAGAAGCCATGTGGTTGCATCCATGGTCCAAAAATCCACAGGCCAGCTCACTTGGAGTGCATGCTCCTATGAAGCAGGCAAGATTTCCTGTTCTGAAATGTATTCCTGGCTTTCTGCATGATCTGACATTCCAGATCATGAAGTCTGTTACAAAAACATGTTGAAACACTAAGGGAAAGAAAAGAAGTTGAACAGTTTTCTATACATGTTAGCCATTATTATCCGATGATATCACATGGCACCATAGATAGAAGAGTACATTGGATTCCAACCTAATTCATTACTTTAACAAAAACTTATTAATCAGCTATTACTAGGCCTTAGGTATGCATTATTAAATGAAGCAGTCTAGGTTTTTGTCTTCCTAGAACTTAACTGGCACAACAGGGGAATCAAATAATAAACAGGTCAATGAACAAATGTTGCCTTACAAATTGTGATATGAGAAATGAAAGAAACAGGAAATGTATTTGATGGTGGGGGTTGGAGGCAGGGAGGACCTTCCTGAAAAGATGACATTAAACTGGGACTGCCAGGGTAAAAAGAACCCAGATGTGCAGTGCCATAGGATTGTAGGCCTGGATAATGGGGTATAGGAGAGGCAAAGATCAAGAGTAACTTTCAGATTTCTAATTTAAGCCACAGGGCAGACAGTGATGCCATCTGTAGAAGGGAAGACTGACGAGAAGGTTTGGGGTGAAATCAGGAAGAGGGACCATAGGTGGAAATCCAGAGAAGCTTTATACATAATTGGCTGGAGATACCTTTGAAATGCATATGTGGATATTTTTGGTTGCATAGAGAAGTGTAAACTCAGAGAAGCTTGGGTTAGGGTTGTACATTTGGGGGTCATCAGGCTCTTGGTGCTGTTAAACCCATAGAAATTATCCTAATGTACAGAGAGGAAGGCGTGTCTAGGACTGGTCTTTGCAAATGTGACAGCATTTGCTTATCATTTAGAAGAGGAAGAGTAGAGACAAAAGAATCAGCAGAGAGAGATCTGAGACAGTCTTAACAAAGCTGTATTTCAGATTACACCAGGAGTCCAAGAAGGCCTGAGCGCGTGACCTGTAATACTTTGTGCCTGGTGACGTGTTCCTCTCGCCGTGCTGGGAGGACTTGTGGGAGCACTTGGTTTCCCTGATTCTGCAGTTCCAACTCCTTCCATCTAGGATTGTGATTGCTACCTGAGTGCCTAGTTTCTGGCACATGCTGAAAAAAGCTTTGATGTTACAGGTTCCCAGCACAGCAGCAGTGTTATTTTGTAGGTACAGCTTTTCAGGTTTGCATGACTTTAAAGAGGCTAAAGAATTTTTTTCTTTTTCCCACTCAATCAGGTTTTCAAGCTAGAAATGCTCTTCTTCAGTCAAATCTTTCTCAAACTCAGCTAGCTACTATTTGGTAAGTTTGTCCATTAATTATGATTTTTAGCTATATATCCTCTATTCTCAGAAAGATGTTGTTTCTTTAAACAAAGTGGATGAATTACAGATGCTCCATAAAAGCAACATTTGAAAGTTAATACTGGGCCGGCGCCGCGGCTCACTAGGCTAATCCTCCACCTGCGGTGCCGGCACACCGGGTTCTAGTCCCGGTCAGGGCGCCGGATTCTGTCCCGGTTGCCCCTCTTCCAGGCCAGCTCTCTGCTGTGGCCAGGGAGTGCAGTGGAGGATGGCCCAAGTGCTTGGGCCCTGCACCCCATGGGAGACCAGGATAAGTACCTGGCTCCTGCCATCGGATCAGTGCAGTGCACCGGCCGCCGCGGCCATTGGAGGGTGAACCAACGGCAAAGGAAAACTTTTCTCTCTGTCTCTCTCTCTCACTGTCCACTCTGCCTGTCAAAAAAAAAAAAAAAAAAAAAAAAAAGGTAATACTAACTTTGATGTATTCAGCAAAATGTTGTCCTTAAGAGTTTGACATTTAATTATTTTACAAGCAAAACCTTGTTTGATTTATAAAATGCCTTCTATGGGGAATCAGAGGATACCTCGTTGTTAATATATAGATAAATATGGTTTGATAGGTGAATTAACCGTGAACTAAGACAAGCTACCTTCTCATAATGTGTAGTTTCCTTTATATTTCAAAGTTTCTTCCCCCTCTTGTGTTAGATAATTAAGGGTAAAAATTAACTTACTTTTCTGCATAGCTTTACGTTTTGCTAAAATATGTTAATCCAACAATTTTACTGTCATTCTTCTTTTCAAAATAAAAAATAGAACTCTTTAAATAATATTTTACTCCAAATAGACTTTAAGTTGTGAATTTTCACGTTTTCTGTAGGACCCTGGCTGACATTGATGGTGATGGACAGCTAAAAGCTGAAGAGTTCATCCTTGCGATGCACCTCACTGACATGGCCAAAGCTGGGCAGCCGCTGCCGCTGACTTTACCTCCAGAGCTTGTCCCTCCTTCTTTCCGGTGAGTGCCCAGTGTGGAGAGCTCTGGTTTTGATCACTTGGCACATGTGACTTCCCTTTGGGATTTATGGAGGCTGTGCCCTGCTTTAGGGGAGAGTTAAATATTTGCACTGCCATTTGATTTTAGTAGTCAATGAGTTATGCAAGGAAGCAAAACATATTAAAGGAGATGTATTTTGGCCAAATTATATAATGGAACTGATGACTAAAGAGATTAAGGAAAATCTACCCAAGAATATCGATTATCTGAACCATAATTTGAATCCAGACCTTTCTGACTTGAATGTCCATCACTGCTTGCTGTACATTTTAACTTGTAGGACCTACTATTTTCCAAATATTGCATTGCCGTAATCATTACAAGTCCATATAGTCTAGTCTGGAAATTCCCATGTTGCATGTTGCTTAATTTGTTTGTTGTTTGCTTTTCTTAGAGGAGGAAAGCAAATTGATTCCATTAATGGAACTCTGCCTTCATATCAGAAAGTGCAAGAGGAGGAACCTCAGAAGAAATTACCAGGTAGCACTGATTTACTAACTTGTACTTGTATATTTATTGTGAGCTCTTTCAAATTTTATTTTTCTTAAAAAATTTTTTTGAATTAAAGATTGATTTATTACATGAGAAGTAGAGACAGAGAGAGGGTGAGACAGAAAGTCTTCCATCTGCTGGTTCACTCCCCAAATGGGTGCAATTGCCAGAGCTGGGCTGATCCGAAGCCAGGAGCCAGGAACTTCTTTCAGGTCTCCCATGCGGGTGCAGGGGCCCAAGGACTTGGGCCATCCTCCACTGCTTTCCCAGGCCACAGCACAGAGCTGGGTTGGAAGTGGAGCAGCCGGGACACAAACCAGCGCTTACACAGGAGGCCAGCACCCGTATGGAATGCCAGTATGGCAGGTGAATGCTCACCCTACTACATCGCAGAGCCGGCCCCCAAATTTTATTTTGAAATGAAATAAATGTTTAGAATTTTTATATTCCTGATATTTCATTTACTGTATGAGAAAACTGTTTAATCCATTTTGAAATCAATAAAGTTAAGATAGTCAAAATGAGAAGAATAAGGAGGAAAAAGAGAAGTGGTGAGTATGTTTGGGAAGAATATGGATATTGGAGTTAAAGTGTTTTTCCCACTTTAAGCAGAATCATTAGAGCAAGCTTCGTGATAAAATTTTTAGCCTAGAAATAAAATTTGGTAGAAAAAGTAGCTGCTTTAAAACATTGAAAAATTAATCACAATTTTTAAAATATTAAAAATTAATCTAAATAAAAATGTGTAGTCACATTGCTTTGATTATCCTTAAAGAAAACTCTGAGAAAAAAACTGAGCAATATTTTTACTGGCAGAGATAGTAAAACTTGGGAATTTGTTTTTTTTGAAAAGGACTATTTCCCTATTTATATTTCAGTTAAAATTATGCTTAGGAGAAGTATCCAAAGAGTAATATAACTCAGATGATCGCAAGGCACAAGTGTGTTGGAAGCAGATTTCGGGTCCTGGGGTCTGAGTTCCTCATGGGTGAGAATGCTTGCTTTCTAACCCTTACCCAGTTACTTTTGAGGACAAGAGGAAAGCCAACTATGAGCGTGGGAACATGGAACTGGAGAAGCGACGCCAGGCCCTGCTGGAGCAGCAACAAAGGGAGGCAGAACGGAAAGCCCAGAAAGAAAAGGAAGAGTGGGAGCGGAAACAGAGAGAGTTACAGGAACAGGAATGGAAGAAGCAACTCGAATTAGAAAAACGGCTGGAGAAACAGAGGGAACTGGAGAGACAGCGGGAAGAAGAAAGGAGAAAAGAGATAGAGAGACGAGAGGTTATTTTTAAGTTGTTTTATTTTCTGAGAACTTCCTCATGCCTAATAAGTGACTGCATTTCATTGGATTAAAAATGTTTATTGTTGGATCTTTGATGTGCCTTTTCCTCTGCATTAATTCATTCCTACTTACCTATGCAAAGCTGTGTCTTCCTTCCTTGAAGAGGGCGGGTGCTTGCATGCAGGAGGTTTTTCAGGGCTGTTGAGTTGTAGCAGTAGCATCTTCAGGAGCTGGCACTGTGGCACAGTAGGTAAAGCCACCGCTTGCAGCGCCAGCATCCCTAATGGGCACCAGTTCAAGTCCCAGTTGCTGCACTTCCATTCCAGCTCCCTGCTAATGTTCCTGAGAAGGCAGCAGAAGATGGCCCAAGTCCCTGAGCTCCTGCCACTCACTTGGGAGACCCAGATGAAGCTCCTGGCTCCTGGCTTTGGTCTCCCCAGCCCTGGTTGTTGCACCCATTTTAGGATGAATCAGCAGATAGAAGATCTCTTCTGTTCCTCCTTCTCTCTCTGTAACTGCCTTTCCAATAAATAAATAAATCTTAAAAAAAAAAAAAAAAACTTTCTGTCAGTGACACCTCAATCACAGACTGGTTACAAAACTGAGTTGAGTGAGGAGCTAAGGTTAGTCAGCCATCAGAAGGAGTCAGTCTGTGCGGGTCTTTAAACACAAGTAGATCTGGTGTCCAGATTCAGAGACCAAGGAATTGGACAGGGAGGAAGACGAAAGTGAGGAGTTGAAGGTCCAGAGAAGAATCGGCAGGATGATCTTGTGTAGGTCCCTAGGATAGTGTTGTATGCAGTCCCTTGGGGAACTGGCTCCTCTCTCTCTCTCTTTCTGCCTCTGCATCACTGTAACTCTGCCTTTCAAATAAATAAAATACTTAAATTTATTTGAAAGGCAGCATGACAGCAAGAAGGAGATACAGAGAAAAAGATGTTCCATCTGATGGTTCACTCCCCAAATGGCCAAAACAGTCAGGGTTGCACCAGGCCAAAGCCTGGAGCCAGGAACTCCTTCCAGGTCTTCCACATGGGTGGAAGGGCCAAAATACTTCTTTGGCTGTTTTTCCAGGTGTCAAAAATGGAGCAGCCAGGACTTGAACCAACACTCTGATATGGAATGCTGGCATTGTCGGTGACAGCTTAACCCACTGCAACACAGTGCTGGCCCCTGAAGTTTTATTTCTTCATTAGAAAGAGCAAGACAGATGGCCTGAGAAAGAGAATGAGGGAGAGAGCACTCCCTTGTGCTGGTTCACTCCCTCAGATGTTTGCAGTGCCCCTACCACCCTGGCTGGAGCCAAAGCCTGGAGCTTGGAACTCAGTCCAGATCTCCCACCATGGCTGGAAGGGACCCAATTACTTGAGCCATTATTCCTGCACCCCAGAGTCTGTATTAGCAGGGAGCTGGAGCCTGGAGCCAAAAGGCAGACTCAAAACCAGGCACTGGAGCCAGCGCTGTGGCATAGTGGTAAAAACTGCCACTTGCAGTGCCGGTGTCCCATACGGGCGCTGGTTCGAATCCTGGCTGCTCCACTTTCTTTTTTTTTTTTTTTTTTGACAGGCAGAGTGGACAGTGAGAGAGAGAGACAGAGAGAAAGGTCTTCCTTTGCCGTTGGTTCACCCTCCAATGGCTGCCGCGGCCGGCGCGCTGCGGCCGACGCACCGCGCTGATCCAATGATGGCAGGAGCCAGGTACTTATCCTGGTCTTCCATGGGGTGCAGGGCTCAAGCACTTGGGCCATCCTCCACTGCACTCCCGGGCCACAGTAGAGAGCTGGCCTGGAAGAGGGGCAACCAGGACAGAATCCAGCAGCCCGACTGGGACTAGAACCCGGTGTGCCGGCGCTGCAAGGCGGAGGATTAGCCTAGTGAGCTGCGGCGCCGGCTGCTCCACTTTCGATGCAGCTCTCTGCTGTGGCCTAGAAGATGGCCCAAGTCCTTGGACCCCTGCACCTGAGTGGGAGACCAGGAGGAAGCTCCAGGCTCCTGGCTTTGAATTGGCGCAGCTCCAGCTATTGCAGCCATCTGGGCGTGAACCAGTGAATGGAAGACCTCTCTCTCTCTCTCTCTCTCTCTGCCTCTGCATCACTGTAAATCTGCCTTTCAAATAAATAACTAAAACTTAAAAAAAAAAAACAAAAAAACAGGCATTGTGATGTGGGATTTATCTTAACAGGCAGCTTAACCCTTAGGCCAACTGCCTGTTTCCTGGCTATGTTTTAAAGGGCCAGGGATGGAGCACAGTAAGTTACAGGGCAGTTAATTATTGCAATTAGAATGTTTTCCTTCCCTGTTCCCAGAATAAAGGTATAATTCTTCCTGTTAACATTTATATTTGTTAAGTTATCCATTTGCTTACTGGGAGAAAAAAGTTTGCCCGCAAAGCACTAAAAACATCTCACAGATGAAGCCCCTTTCGTGGAAGTCTTCAGGTTAGCTCTGTTGATAAAGCTAGATTTGCCCAGAGACCCTGAGGTGTGATACAGCACACTAAGTCCTAAACAGGCCTCACTTTTATCTGTGTCATCACATTGGGCTTTGAATGATGCAGGATTTTTAATTTAAAAATTATCTTTAATTTCTTGTTTTCAGGCAGCAAAACAGGAGCTTGAACGACAACGCCGTTTAGAATGGGAGCGAATTCGTCGACAGGAGCTTCTCAATCAAAAGAACAGAGAACAGGAAGAAATCGTCAGGCTCAGCTCTAAAAAGAAGAGTCTTCATCTCGAGTTGGAAGCACTGGTATGGCTAAAGTTTAGGTGAAGTTTGTCTAAATGCCACTAGAGTTAAACATGTAATTGTGTTTTAAACCTGTCTTATCAGTAGCTTAGGTTTTAGTGTAAGTAGTCATATTCTCCTATGTGCTTTTTAACATGCTAGAAAGCATGGTTTACTGAGAAAGGACAGTCTCAGAGTGCTGAGAATCATGCTGTGGTCTCGGGTCAGATGCTGGTGGATCGTGTATGTGCTCAGGAGCAAGGCATCTGCTGACCGGGCATTTGGAGAGTGATCCTATGGATGGGAGTACCTGTCTGCTTTATCTCTCTCTGCTTTTCAGAGATAGAAAGATAGCATTTTATGCCTTCAAATGGGCAGGAATATATATCACAGTTATTAATCATGCCGTGGTCCCACAAAGCTTTAACTAAAAAACTTTAACTTCTTTGTTATCTTTGCATACTTATTGGAGCTATCATCTTGACTGTGTATTTTTCCTTAAAAATATGATGGGAGAAGACCTTAATTTTGACTGTTTTTCCCTCAAAAACTTGGATAATGCTCCAAGCACAGTAATACACGTTGACATTTAGAGTCTGGAGTAGTCCAGATCCTATACTTAGGCATGTCTCAGATAATGTGGTAATAATGAAATAATATGGCACAGTATACTCCTTCCTAGCATGTGTTTTTCAAATATAAAACGTATTGTTCAGTAAAACTTTTCATCACCAGAGATCTTGAGCCAGAGCTCTCATTCTCCTCACTGCACAGTATTAGTTTGTTAGGGCTGCTGTAACCGATCACGACAGGCTGGGCAGCATAGAAGACAGAATTTTGTTTTCTCACATCCTGGAAGCTTAGAAGTCTCAGATCAGGGTGTCTGCAGGTTTGGTTTCTTGCGAAGCCTGTCCCATGGCTTGCAGTGCCACAGTACTGCTGTGTCAGGACGAGATCTTTTCTCCCGTGTCTCTGGGGTGTTTCTGTGTGCATCTTAGAGTTCCTCTGATAAGGACCTCAGTCAGATAGGATTGGGGCCCTCCTAAGCGACCTCATGTGTCCTTAGTTTCCTTTATAAAGGTCCTCTCCCCAAAAATAGTCACATTCTGAGGTATTAGGGCTTAAGACTTCAACATACAAATTTGGGGAGGGACTCTATTCAGCCCATAAAACTCCACCTCACCCTTCTTCTTAGGCCCCATTGAGAATGTATGGTCTGTTTCTTTTCCTTTTTTCTACTCTCAGAAGAAAGGTACTCCTTACTTAAGGAAAGGAATAGTAGTATAGGGGAAGAGAATTGTTGCCAAAAAAGAGGAACTTAGATGGCAACATGAGGGTGGAAATTGAAATGCAGAGAAGGTTATGCTAAATGTCAGATGCAAACATCTGTTCTTCCTTTTTATCTTTGAGATTGCCTTGGATGTGAATTTTATAAATTAATGCTCAAATGCTGAGTTCACAAAAAAGTTGATTGTTACATTTGTGTTTTCTCATTTTCTTGTTTTCTTTCTTTTTAAAAGTTTAATTGGCACATAATAAGTATATATATTTATGGGGTACAGTGATAATTTGTACATGTACACCATGTATAATGATCAGATCAGGGTAATTAGCATTTCCATCTTAACATATGCACTCTTCTGAGGATGATATGGTTCCTACAAACTGTTAACAGATACAGCTGTAAAATATATTCTATTTAGTTTTATTTATTAATTTATTTTCAAAGATTCATTTATTTATTTGAAAGGCAGAATTGGAGAGAAAGAGAAAAAGAGAAAGGGGGATATCCTCCATCTTCTGGTTTCCTCCTCAAATGGTCACAATGGCCTGGGCTGGGCCAACCCGAAGCCAGGAGCCTGGAACTTTATCCTGGTCTCCCACATGGATGGGAGGACCCACTTGGGCCATCTTCTGCTGCTTTCCCAGGTGCTATATTAATAGGGAGCTGGATTGGAACCAATACTCAAACTGGTGTCCATATGGAATACTGGCATAACAAGTGGCAGTTTAACCCACTGTGCCAGCACTTCTCTTTAGTTTTAGACATTTTTCAGACTCATGAATGATAAATGGCATTTAAAAATTTGACCAATAAAAATATTATTGTCCTGGTAGAAACACTTCCTATTAGTATTTCACAGTTCCTTATTTGTATTTGATTTTCCTGTAGAATGGCAAACATCAGCAGATCTCAGGTAGACTTCAAGACGTCCGGCTCAGAAAGCAAACTCAAAAGACTGAGCTGGAAGTTCTGGATAAACAGTGTGACCTGGAAATTATGGAAATCAAGCAGCTGCAACAAGAACTTCAGGTGAGCGCGGTGCTGCTGCACCGTCCTTCGGCACGTGCAGTTATTGGTGGTTCCTTCTAACAGTTTCACTGTGAGAATCATGAACACCTAGGATCTCTGATGGACTTGTGAAATTGAGAGAATTTCAAAATGTTCATGGGAAATGGAATGAAAAAGTAGAAACAAATGATAAAACCTTTTATTTCTCAATATAAGATTCAGCAAATTCAAGACCCTTTTGTAAGTGATGTTATCACCCAGTTAGTCCATCCCTAAAGAATGGAAGATCTGGGGAACTTCACCGAGTCAGTGCAGTCTGTTTTACAAGGTTAACTGGAGAATGGTGGAGCCCTTAAGGATTTTTTAAGGTTAGGAAACAAAAGTCAGAAGGAGCTAAGTCAGGACTGGAAGGTGGATGCAGGATGATTTCCCTTACAGGCTCTTGCAAAACTGCCCTTGTTTGATGAGAGGAATGGGCAAGAGCATCTCCTGGTGGACCAGGGCGCCCTGGGGACTCTCCCAGGCAGGTTCCTGCTAGAGCTTTGGCTGACTTTCTCAGTGCGCTCATTACAAGCAAGTATTAATGCTCTTTGGACTTCCAGAAAATCAACAAGTAAAATGCCCAAAAAACTGTTGCCATGACCTTTTGCTCTTGACCAGTTCACTTTTTGCTTTGACTGCACTGCTTCCTCCTCTTGGTAACCATTGCTTTGATAGTATAGTGTCTTCAGGATCATACTTGGAAAGCAATGTTTCACCTCCCATTCTAGTTCTTCAAAGAAATACTTCAGAATCTTGGTCCCCCTTGTTGAAGATTCCCATTGAAAGCTCTCCTCATAGCTGTAGCTGCTCTGAACACAATAGTTTTGCCGCTCATTAAGCAGACAGCTTGCTGCACTTTAATTTTCAGTCAGAATTGTGTAAGCTGAACCAGTTGAGACATCTGTGGTGTTGCCTGTTGTTTCTGCTGTTCCTGGTTGGTCCTCTTCAGTTAGAGTACCAACAAGATTAATATTTTCCTCACAAAATGATGTGGATGGTCTGCTGTTACTGGCTTCCTCTTCAACATTGTCTTGGTCCTTCTTAAAATGAGTTACCCATTTGTAAATTACTGATTTCTTTGGAGGCACTGGCCCCTAAACTTTTTTTTTTTTTTTTAAGATTTATTTTATTTATTTGGAAGGCAAGTTACAGATAGAGAAAGAGAGACAGAGAGAGAGATATCATCCATCCACTGGTTCTCTCCCTAAATGGCTGCAATGGCTAGGGCTGGGCCAGGTCAAAGCCAAGAGCCAGGAGTTTGATGTGGGTCTCCCATGTGGGTGCAGGGGCCCAAATACGTGGGCCATCCTCCACTGCTTTCCCAGCTGCATTAACAAGGAGCTGGATCAGAGGCAGAGCAGCCAGGACTCGAACCAGCACCCATCTGGGATGCTGGCTTTGCAGGTGGCGGCTTAACCTGTTAGACTGCAGTGCCCCTCCTGCCCCACACTTTGTGAAGCTTCCGTGATTTCACTGTTCTTTCACCCAAACCTCACTATAAATGTGGTGCTTGTTCTTGCTTCAGTTTTCAAAGAATTCATGTTGCTGTGATAGGGGCTGTTTTCAAACTCACGTTTTATCTTTCTTGATGCTCGGTCTAGATTCTGTTCAGAGATGTGTAACAAGTCGGAATGAATTTATTTTTGTGCAGAAAGAAAATTTTATATTCACGTATATTGTATTCATAATATGTGTCTTCCATGAATCTTTTGAAGATCCCCCACAACATGATTTTTTGTATGTAATATCAGGAAACCCATAGACCCCCTTACAGATCTGCTAGGTATCTGGCCAAGTTCTGCTAAATGTTTATACACAAATGGACATGCATCACTTCTTGAGTTTTAACTGTTTTTTATTTAAAATAAACCATTTGTGTGTTTGTCGTAATGTATTCCTGCTGTTACAGTAGAATTCCTTAGACTGGATGCTTTATTAACAGCAGAAATGTAGTGCTCACAGCTCAGGGGAAGGCAAAGAGCAGAGGGCAGCAGATTACACTTGCTTGCTGTCTCCTTCAAAAATAGCTCCTTCTTGCTACATCCTCACACAATAGAAGATGCAATGCCGTCCCTTCAGGATCTTTTTTAAGGGGATTAATCCCATTTATGAGAGTAGACCTTTCATGATTCTTTGACCTCCTAAGCCCTACCTCTGCACTGTTGCTCTGGGTGTTAGATTTCAACATAAGAATTTGGTGGGAGTCAGGAGGAGATTGTAGGGGAACCACTAATGTCAGACCATAACATATCACTACTGATGTGAGGCAATCTTGACTTAGGATTGTTCTTTTTAGAATTGTGGTGGTAATGTTGAACATGTGCCTCAGGGACCTGGAAATTCTTCCCTTGTGCAGGGTCGATTGGGTAATTATTGTTTGCATAATACAGCGCTGGAATCATTCTGCTTCTCTAGGGTGCTCTTTTTTTTATTATTTTTATTTATTTATTTATTTATTGACAGGCAGAGTGGACAGTGAGAGAGAGAGACAGAGAGAAAGGTCTTCCTTTGCCGTTGGTTCACCCTCCAATGGCCGCTGCGGCCAACGTGCTGTGGCCGGCGCACTGCGCTGATCTGATGGCAGGAGCCAGGTGCTTTTCCTGGTCTCCCATGGGGTGCAGGGCCCAAGCACTTGGGCCATCCTCCACTGCACTCCCGGGCCACAGCAGAGAGCTGGCCTGGAAGAGGGGCAAGCGGGACAGAATCCGGCACCCCGACTGGGACTAGAACCCGGTGTGCCGGCACCACAAGGTGGAGGATTAGCCTAGTGAGCCGCGGCCTCTAGAGTGCTCTTACTCACTTTGTCTTACCTATGGAGTGGCAGGTCATCGGTCTTCTGACTTAGCTCCAAAAGATAGAAACAGAAGCCAAAGCCTGCTTCCCTAGATGGCCCTGAGTGTTCCGTCCTGTCGCATACACAGATTGGAGAGTATTAGGGTTTCCACAGACGGGTGCCAAAGGCACCACTTAGTCTTTGCCCTCTGTCATCCATCACTGTGTGGAAATTGTAGGCTTCTAGACACACTCCAGCTAACAAGGCTTTCTTCACTGCCCGTTAATTTCAGCCAGTCATTCACAAATGAGTTTAGGCTTAGGTATTTGTTTTTTAAAGCATGTGTAATTCCATTCTAGTTAATTCGTAAGTTCTAAGCAGTTTACAACTACACATTACCACTGTGGTAAGTTTCAAAACTGAGTGAGTTTTCAAAAAAATTCTTGGACAGCGTTATAGAATTTTTAATCAGGCACTACCTTTTCTTTTTACAAGGAATATCAAAATAAGCTTATTTATCTGGTACCTGAGAAGCAGTTATTAAATGAAAGAATTAAAAATATGCAGCTCAGTAATACACCTGGTAAGTCTCTAAGGTTTGTTTTGTCTTTCATTCTGTTCTGATTGCTGTATTAGTTGTATTCTGTTTTTATAAGTAGCATTACATGTAATAAGTAACATTTTTACATATATGTTTAATTTCAAAATAAGAAAAATATCACAGATGTTAGAGCATTTTAATAATAAAAAGTAAACAGTAAATTTTAAAGTAATCACAGATCATTAAAACTATAGTAGTATAACATTCTTAACCATTGGTTTGACAAGGGTATAAAGCAAAGTTTTACAAAACTATATTTGCAGCAATACTGATACACACCTTTCTTTCTTTTCTTTTTCTTTTTGTTTCTTTTAAAATTTTAGCTCTATAATGGAGAACAATATGGGTGAAATGGTCGTTTTTCCATTCAATTATTGTTTATATTCATCTGTATTCCCACTACAAGGGGGTCCTTTTGCTTGTTAAACTTCTCTTTTGAGTTAGCATTAAGTCTTTTTACTGTAATGTAAAGTTAAAATATGTTGTATCAAAAGCAAAAAAAAAAAAAAAAGAAAGGGAAAAGGAAGGAGGGTCAGAAGGAGGGAGGAGGGGAATATCATTATGTTCTTGGAATTGTATCTACAAATCACATTGAATCTGTTAAAAACTAATTAAAATTTAAAAATTTTTAAATAATATTTTAAAAAATCTTTAAAAACATTTAAGAGTCACAATTTTTTTCTTAAAAAAGTAAACAAGAATAAAAGTAATAATTGATAAGCATTCCTGCTGATAATATTTTTATTTATATAGTTATCAGTAAAAATGTTAGGTTACAATTAAATAAGATCTACATGGGGCTATTACACAATAGCACCCTTGCCTTGTGACAGATTCCCGCAGTAACTGTAAAGAACTGTTGAGGAAGAGCTGAGGCCGTCTGGGGGCTGAGCTTCCAGGTAGCTAAGCAGCTGTGCCCCCCGCACAAGACCCTTTCCATCACCTGACTGTGGAGCTGACCTGGCCTTCTGACACCTGTGAAACATAGCATGCCAAGGCAGTTTATGGGAATTTTTTTTTTTTTTTTTTGACAGGCAGAGTGGACAGTGAGAGAGAGACAGAGAGAAAGGTCTTCCTTTGCCGTTGGTTCACCCTCCAATGGCTGCCATGGCCAGTGTGCTGCAGCCAGCGCACTGCGCTGATCCGATAGCAGGAGCCAGGTACTTCTCCTGGTCTCCCATGGGGTGCAGGGCTCAAGCACTTGGGCCATCCTCCACTGCACTCCCTGGCCACAGCAGAGAGCTGGCCTGGAAGAGGGGCAACCGGGACAGAATCCGGCGCCCCGACCGGGACTAGAACCCAGTGTGCCGGCTCCGCAAGGCGGAGGATTAGCCTAGTGAGCCGCGGCGCCGGCCTACGACTCTTGACTGCTTAGGAGGTTTGATAGTGTCCCTCTTTTTAGCCATGTTCTGAACAAACTCAGAAATAAGGCAAAGGAGCAAAAAGGACAAATAAGCATAAGACTGATGAGGGGTCAGAATGCTGCTTCATCAGCTGGGATTGGACAGCGTGGTTTGTCTGTGAGAGGTCAGCTGCACCTGTGAGACATTGGCTGTGTCAACAAAATTGAAAGTGGACCTGGTAGAGCTACTCCTTTGTAGAGTGTGATCCAATCCAGCTGTTACTTACTTGTTCATTCAGTTCAAAGTAGGATGCTTAATTGGGATGTGAAGTATCCTATATCCCTTAGATTACTTCTCTCCGTTGTAGTAACCATTTAAGATTACCATGTATATGCCAAGCACCACGCTAGGCAGTTTTCACAAATTATTTTCTTTAATCTTTACAGCAACCCTCTGATGCAGTTTTTCCCATTATACAGCTTAGGTAAACTGAGGCACAGAGCAAGTAAATAGATTTACCCAAAATGGTACAGTAGTAGTCCTCAGATTCATGTCAGTCTGACTCTGAAGCCAACTGTACTACCACATAGTCTCTGTCTTCCAGTTACCTGATACAGTGCTCATATATATAGTCAGATTGGTGATAAAACATACTCTATAAGTGATGTTCATTGTTACAAGTAAATAAGAAATATACAGTTATAAGAGTTTACTGATGGACGTAATAGATTACTGAATAGAGGCAGTTTATGCTGCTCAGTGAACTAGCTCAGAAATATACATCAGTACTAATTTATTAATTTATTCAGATTTCTTTACAGGAGACTTGGCAGGTAATTCACACATTCACCTAGAAGAGAAAATGCATAAGAGAAGGCAAGACTTGAAAAACATTGGTGGGAACAGAAGACTAGCCCTATTAGATATCAGAACATCAGATGTGAAAACTATAGTGCCTAAAATAATAGATTACTGATTAGAAATAGAAAAGTAAGCAATGGAGAGTCTAGAAAAAGACATATGTATATAACACGGTTGAGGATAAGGTAGAGTTGGCATTTAACATCAGTGGGGAATGGGTGAGTGTTCAGTAAGTGATTGGGAAGAGCTGGTTATCTGTAAGAGGTGTGGGGAAACGCTTTACCTCATACAGAAAAAGTTCTAGATAATATACATAAAAGGTCAAATATAAAAAGTAACTAAAATATTATAAAACAGAGGAAAATATTTTAATAATTTTGGTGTGAGGGAAGTTTCCTCAAATAACAGAGCCATAAAGGAAAATATGTACAGATGTACTGATAGAAAAATGAAAAACTGGGGTAGGTGTTCAGCTTAGCGGTGAAGATGCACGTGTTCCATATTGGAGTACCTGGGGCTGATTTCTGGCTCCAGCTGCTGACTCCAGCTCCCTGCTAAAGCAGACCCTGGGAGTAGTGTGATGACTTGAGTGGTCAGGTTCCTGCCACCAGGGAGATCTGGATAGAGTTCCCTGATCCTGTGTTTGGCCCTGGCTGGGAGCTCTTGCAGGCATTTGGGAAGCAAACCAGCCTTTGGGAATACTCTGTCTCTATCTGTCTTTCTCTCTACCTCTCAAATAAATTTAAAACAGTGTTTTTAAGTGAAAGACTTTTTTTTTTTAAGATTTATTTATTTACTTGAAAGGCAGTTAAGGGGGGGTGGATATCTTTCATCTGCTAGTTTATTCACTAGATGGTTCCAATGACCTAGGCTGGGAAAAGCTGAAGCCAGGAGCCTGGAACTCCTTCCTGGTCTCCCACAGGGTTCACAGTGGCCCAAGTGCCTGAGCTATCTTCCAGTGCTTTCCCAGGCACATTAGCAGAGAGCTGGATCAGAAGTAGAGCGCTGGGATTTGAATCGGTGCTCAGATGTGGTACCAGCATTGTAGTCAGTGGCTTAATTTGCTATGCCACATTGCCAGCCCCCCACCCCACCCCCACCAAATTGACAGGTGGGCATTGCGGTGCAGAGGGTTAGGCCATTGTATTGGATGCTTGCTAGCATTCCATAGCTGGAGTGCCAGTTCCAATCCTAGCTGCTTTGCCTACGATCCAGCTTCTTGCTAATGCATCCTGGGAGGCAGCAGATGACGACTTAAGGGCTTTTTCTTTTTCCCTCCCACCCACGTGGAGGACCCAAATGGAATTCCAGGCTCCTGGGTTCAACCTGGCCCAGCCCTGGCTATTGCCGGCATTTGGGAAGTAAACCAGCAGATAGAAGATCTATCTGTTTGTCCCTAACCTCCCTCTCTAACTCTGCCTTTCAAGTAGATAAAAATAAATAAACACTTAAAGAATTTTTGAAATACATATAGTATAAGAGTTTAGAGCTTCTCTAAATCAAAAATTAAAACAATTGAGTAGAACAAATTTGGGCAATTTAAGACTATGGCCAATAAACATAAGTAGATATTTACTCAACTTTACTAGTTATCAAGGAAGTACATATTAAAATAATATTTCTTTTTGACAATTAGCAAAAATAAGTAACGATTGATAAATGAAGTGAGATGATGTTTAGGAGCAGGCGCAGGCACTGCTGAGGTCATAAATTGACAAAGGATAGTTCGTCAGTTTCTGTCAGAATTCAGAGTGTGCATAGACAAACAGAAGGATAGATAGAATCCATGTGATCCTTTCAGTGGATAAAGAACTAGCGTTTGACAAGGTCTAACACCCTCTCATGATGAAAAGTCTTAGAAAATAAGCAGGGAAAGACATTTTTCAGTTAATAAAGACCATTTATGAGGGGCCCATAGCTAACATTATGATCAGTGATAGAAAACTGAAAACTTTTCATCTGAAGTCTAGTTCAAGGTAATGATGCTCATTTTTGCCACTTCCATTAAATGTAGGGCTGGAAGTACTAGCAAGAGAAATTAAACAGGAAAAAATATAGAAATCATTGAAATTGGAAAAGAAAAAATGAAATTGTCCCTGTTTGCAGATGATAATTCTTTCACCTCTTAGCTTTATAAAGTTCTTAAATATATACATTAAAGAGTATATACAAAGATAGTTATTACGGCATTTTTATGTAATGTTAGAAAATTAGAAACTACCCAAATGCTAATCCAAAAGGGGATAGTCATGTAGATTGTGAAGTAGCCATAATGTAGATTATCATGGAACACTTTTAGGGAATAAACTATAAGTCTTGATTGATAAGGTACATTATTAAATGTAAATCAATTTGCAAAGCAGTACAGACAACAAAAATATTATGAACACAACTAAATGGGAATTTGAGATGAAGGATGATTTTAAATTTTTTACTCTGTGGCTCATCTTATTTAAATTTTTTATCTGATTTCAATACTTGAAAGAGAGAGAGAAACAGAGAGATGTAATCCACTAGTTTACCCCAAAATGGTCAGCACAGCTGGACTGCTCTTGGTCAAAGCTGGGAGGTGGAAACTCAGTCCAGATCTTCTGTGTGGGTAGCAGGAACCCAACTGCTTGAACAATACTTGCTGCCTCCCAGGGTGTGTATTAACAGGAAGCTGGAATCAGAAACAGAGTTGGGACTCTGACCCAGGCATTCTCATATGAGACATGAACAAGCATCCTAACTGGCATTTTTTTTTTTTTTTTGACAGGCAGAGTTAGACAGTGACAGAGAGAGAGACAGAGAGAAAGGTGAAAGGTCTTCCTTCTATTGGTTCACCCCCGAAATGGCCGCTACGGCCAGCGTGCTGTGCCAATCTGAAGCCAGGAGCCAGGTGCTTCCTCCTGGTCTCCCATGGGGTGCAGGGCCCAAGGACTTTGGTCATCCTCCACTGCACTCCCGGGCCACAGTAGAGAGCTGGACTGGAAGAGAGGAGCAACCGGGACAGAATCTGGCGCCCCAATCGGGACTAGAACCCGGGGTACTGGTGCCATAGGAGGAGGATTAACCAAGTGAGCCGTGGCATCATCCTGGCATTTTAACTGCTAAACCAAATATCCTATTCTTTTAAAAATATTTAAAATATTTTAAAGTATGCATTTAGGGGCTGGCATAGTGGCACAATGGTTAAGCCTCCATTTGCAGTGCCAACATCCCATAGGAGCACTCATTCAAGTCCTGGCTAGTGTACCCAGGAAAGCAGCAGAAGATGGTCCAAGTACCTGGACCCCTGCCACCTATGTGGGAAACCCAGGTGGAGTTCCTGGTTCCTGGCTTTAGCCTGACTCCTGACTGTTGCAGCCATTTGAGGAGTTATCAGCAGATGGAAGATCTCTCTCTCACTCTTACTATCTCACTGTATCCTTCAAATGAATAAATCTTTTTAAAAAAATACCTATTTGAACATATAATATTGTGATTTTTATGTTATGCTGTATCTGTACTGTATATTTCCATCTGGTTTTTCCATCCTTGCAAGAGGCAGGTGGCGTGGTGTTCATTGCACAGAAGAGCAGGTTGGATAAAGCACCTTCCCAAAGTGAAGCTGCACTTCAGGTCCCGGTCCTTGAGCACAGAAACCACTGCTTATCACTGTTTCCCCTGAGGATCTTCCCAGAATGTGATCTGAGACAGGAGTGGCCCCTGAGTGTTTGCTCCAGTCCGTATTCCCTGTGTGTGCATCCTTCGTGTGTCTAGTTAGAGCGTTTTGATGAGGCAGTGAATAACAGACTGGTAATAGCACAGAAACTTCTACCAAATGTCAACTGTCTGATGTTTGTATTTCAGATTCAGGGATCAGTTTACTTCATAAAAAATCATTAGAAAAGGAAGAATTATGCCAAAGACTTAAAGAACAATTGGATGCCCTTGAAAAAGAAACTGCTTCTAAACTGTCAGAGATGGATTCATTTAACAATCAACTAAAGGTATTTATCTTCCATGATACCCATTTTTATGTAGCTGCCTCTTGCCTTCTTTATTCTGATTGAAGAGAGTGAATAACTACCGCTATTATTCATATATATTATATTTTGATAGTTTATTTTATAATTTTAACTATACCACAATTGCAAGATTATTTCTAATTGCCTTTAATGTTCTCTGTTACAAACACTGTGTCATAACTAAGCATACCGTTTGCCACATTTCCTGGTTTTGATGACGGTATGCTGTTTTTATTGGCACCCATCCATTTCAGAACAATTGCCTTTGTCAGTATTACAGACCTTAGCCAATGTGATGTCAGGCACATTCTAAAATGAGAAATATGGAAGATTTAAAACAGTTCCAGTGGTACTAAATTCCTTTTTACTTTCTTTGTTACATTGTATTCTAACTTCCTGTTATGAAATAATACAGTAATTAGTGAAATCCAAAGAATAATCTGGTACTATAGGTTTTACGTGAATAGTTACAGTCATGATTGATTGTTGCAGTGGCAGAGCAGATGTCCAGACACACATGGTGTGCTTCCCATTCTGTGCAGTTTGAGCTGTATACTGAAACCTACCTATGAAAGAAGTAATTAAAGCTAAAAATTGGACTAGTGGCACATAATTCAAGTTGGGAATAGCCTCAGTTATTCCCTTGCTAAATAAGCTCAAAGTTTCCAGAGGAAAAAATATTGCTTAGCTTTCTGATGAGAAAGCCATGTCTTTATATGGTTTTCATCCTGCTAACATATTTAAAATATTTTTGACACAGCACAATAAAGACAGAACACCTTTGTAGCTTCAGTTAAGGCGGGGAAATTTGAGATGAATATTGTGAATAATACACTTTGCCCAAGAATGTATCATTTATCACTGATGGTCAGACAAGCCACCCAAAGTATCTTCCGTATATTATATTTTTAAGAACCTGTGCATAGTTTAATTGGCTTTTTATCTGCCTTATCTTACAGTGTGGGAGTATGGATGACTCTGTTCTTCAGTGCCTTTTGTCTCTGCTAAGCTGTCTCAACAACCTCTTCCTCTTACTTAAGGTTATTTTCTAATATCTTGCTCCTTTTTTTAGTTACTTTACTATTTTCTTTTTTTTTTTAACTAGACTATTCTTTGCCTTTATCTGAGTATCTTTGCTTGAAATAACATATACGATATAGACCTTTCTTTTCTTTCTGTTTGCTTAAATACCCTTCTGCTGTTGAATTGCCTGTTTGAGTCTAATGCCAGAAATCAGGAAGATTTCCCACAGTAAGCTTTCTCATGAGAAGCCCAAGACACTTAAAAATATTACCCGGAGCTGGGGCTGGCATTGTGGCATCACGGGTAAAGCCTCTGCCTGTGACACCAGCATCCCAAATGGGCTCCAGTTTCTGTCTTGGCTGCTCCATTCCAATTCAGTTCCTTGCTAGTGGCCTAGGAAAAGCATGGAAGATGGTCCAAGTGTTTGGCCCCTGCCACCCACATATGGAAGACCTGAATGAAGCTTCTGGCTCCTGGCTTCACCCTGGCCCAGCTTTGGCCATTGGCCATGTCAGGAGTGAAAGCAGATGGAATCTCTCCCTCTCTCTCTCTCTCTCTCTCTTTCCATCTCTCTCCATAAATTCTGACTTTCAAATAAATAAATCTTTATTTTTAAAAACTTACCCAATTCTCTTACATCCCTGTAAATTAATTAATGACATAATTGCTAATTCAGTTTGGAGAACTAAGGGAATATAAGATTAATTTACTTAGTCGTATCAGTGAAAATCATTATCAAGATAAAACTTAAACATTATGAAAACTCAGCAAGATTATGTCATATATATACCAGGCTGCTTCCTAATACTGCTATAAGAAAAATTTTAATGAACTACTAGGTCTCTTTACCAGACTCAGATGAAAATGTTTAAATTATATGTATGTTTTGTTTGCCATGTATAGCACACTGAGTATGTAAAATACTCAATACATTCATATTTTAATATTTAATATTTTAATATTGTTTAAATAAATGCTTTGTATATGCCATTTGCTGTCCTGGTATTTTTTTAGAAAAAAATTTATTTATTTGAAAGGCAGAGTTACAGAGGGGGAGAGAGACAGGGACAGAAATATCTTCCATCTATTAGTTTACTCTTCAAATGGCTGTAGCGGCCAGAGCCAGACCAGGCTAAAGCCAGGAGCCTGGAACTCCACCCTGGTCTCCCACATTGGATGCAGGGGCCCAGGCACTTGTGCCATCTTCCACTGCTTTCCCCAGCAGGGAGCTGGATCAGAATAGAGCAGCTGGGACTAGAAACTGTGAGATATGGAGGGGTCTGGTGTTATAGGCAGTGATTTAACCTAGCATTAACCTTGAACCTTAACCACAATACCAGCCTCAGATCCTAGTAGATTTTTTTTTTTTTTTTTTTTTTTGACAGGCAGAGTTAGACAGTGACAGAGAGAGAGACAGAGAGAAAGGTCTTCCTTCTGTTGGTTCACCCCCCAAGTGGCCGTTACGGCCGGCGCGCTGCGCCGATCCGAAGCCAGGAGCCAGGTGCTTCCTCCTGGTCTCCCACGCCGGTGCAGGGCCCAAGCACTTGGGCCATCCTCCACTGCACTCCCGGGCCACAGCAGAGAGCTGGACTGGAGGAAGAGCAACCGACACAGAATCTGGCGCCCCAACCGGGACTAGAACCCAGGGTACCGGCGCCGCAGGCGGAGGATTAGCCTAGTGAGCTGCGGCGCTGGCCCTCCTAGTAGATTTTGAATATATATTCTACTTGGTGCTAAAATGGATGACAGTAGGACAATTGCATATGTGTTCCACAATGAAGACAAGAACATGATAAGTAGGCTCACTTTTTAAGAAGATGTATTTATTTGAAAGGCACAACAGCAGAGAGGAGGAGAGATAGCAAAAAAGATCTTCTATCCACTGGTTTACTCTGCAGGTGGTTCCAACAGCCACGGCTGAGCCATGTGGAAGCCAGGAGCCAAGAACTGCATCCACATGGGTGATAGGAGGCCAAGCACTTGTCATCTGCTGCCTTGCTAAGCTCATTAGCAGAAAGCTGGATCAGAAGTGGAGCAGCAGAACTCAAACTAGCCCTGTTACAGGATGCTGGTGGCAAGTTGCAGCTTAACCCACTGTGCCCTAACTCTGGACCCAGTAGAGCTTATTTGTTACCTAAGCTAAGATGGAGAAGATTGGAAAGGTCCTAACTCAGGGATCCCATATAATACCCTTTATGGTTATAGCATGAATGACCAGATTGTCTGGTCTAGAATTTTGCTGCAGATTTCACAGAAACTGAAACCCAAGTTTTTCCATCTGTGAAGCGTGGTTCAGTAACGACTTGTGGACTGTACTCTGATTCTTTCATTTCGCATTTGATTCTCCACAGGCCAGCAGATTACTCTTATCTCTTGATTTACTTTCTTTCTTGTACTTCCTGCCTCCCAGTCTTTCACTGCTAACTGACACTTTAATCAAAGGCAATTTAGAGAAACAGAGAGGTATGAAGTTTGTAGTGTCAGACGGATCAGCAGTCTGACACCAGGGGCAGGAAAGAGGCCGTCTGCATGTAAGATGGTACATGGTACAGAGTGAGCATGTGCATAGCGCTGACAATCCCACTGAGTTTGTCAAGGAGACCTTTGAAGACCACTCTGAATGGGCCATTTCAGTTGAGTGATAAGTAGAAACTGAATTGGCAGTGGATCAGGAACAAATGTGAGTTGAAGGATTGAGTCTAAACAACTTTTAGGGAGAGATGAGTAAGACGAAAGCTTGAGGTCAAAGAAAAAACTTTTTGGTTTAAAAAAAGACTTGAAAGATAGCAAAGAGGGAGGAAAGAAGGGAGGAGGAAAGGTAGAGATTAAGATTGGATGTATAAAGTGGCAACTGATAGAGCATAGTCCCTGGGGAAGCCGATTAAGAAAGAATGTAGAGCATAGATTAAAGGATTAGATAAAAACAATTCCAGGACCCGGTGCTGTGTTGTAGCACGTAAAGCCACTGGCTGCAGTGCTGGCATCCCATATGGGCACCAGTTCAAGTCTTGGCTGCTCTACTTCCTATCCAGCGCTCTGCTATGGCCTGGGAAAGCAGTGGAAGGTGGCCCAAGTCCTTGGTCCCCTGCACCCTTGTGGGAGACCTGGAGGAAGCTCCTGGCTCCTGGCTTCAGATGGACGCAGCTCTGGCCATTCTAGCCATTTGGGGAGTGAACCAGCGGATGGAAGACCTCTCTCTCTCTCTCTGCCTTTGCCTCTCTGTAACTCTGCCTTTCAAATAAAACAAATGAATCTTAAAAAAAAAAAAAAGTATTCCATGGTTACGTGGAAAAAAGATGGATGTGAATGTTGGTAGACAGTAAGAGATTGCAAGCTTCAGGATTTAAAATCAAGGGCCAGCATGTGGCAGCAATAGATTAAGCTGCTGCCTACAATGCTGGTATCCCACGATGCAGTACTGGTTCCATTCTTAACAACAACAACAAAAAAAGATCTAAGATCATAAATAAGTTTAGACATTACAAGGATCCTTTGTTTATTTGAAAGGCAGAGTGAAAGAGAGAAGGGGAGGGACTGAAAGAGACCATTCGTCCACTGGTTCATCCCCCAGTGGCTGCAGTGGCTGAGGCTAGTCCAGGATGAAGCCAAGAGCCCAAAACTTTATCCCGGTCTTCCACGTGCATGGTAGGTGCCCAAGAACTTGGGCCATTTCTCACTGCTTTCCCCAGCACATTAGCAGGGAGCATTTTCGGAAGCAGAGCAGCCAGAACTCAAACTGGCACTCCAATATGGGATGCTGGCATTGTTAAGTGGGGGTTTAACCCACTGTACCACAATGCCAGCCCCCCTCATGAGGATTCTTCCTAGGTAGTTTAGGGGATAGAATAATAACCTAGACCAGGAGAGGAGGGGTACAAATGCTGGAATTTTTGTTGATTTTGAGGTGGAAAGATAAAGGAGGTCCAATTTGATGGCTTCATAGGCAAGATTTGTAGCTGGTGGTGAGAATGGATGGAAGTTTCAGATAAGTGGGCATCTCACTGGGGTAAGGAAGTGCAAGTTGAGTAGAGGAAAACAGGTGGTGAGCATTGTTGAATGCCTAATTCAAGTTAGAGGTCATGGATTTAAACTGAAAACAGCATGCCTAGTTACATGTTTCTCGTCTGCCGATGCTCTGCTTTTTGGGTGTAAGCAGGGATTAGGGTGATGAAATAGGTTCATGGGTTCATGCAGGTTTGTGGTTTTAATAGACATGGGCAAAGAGGGAGTGACAAGAAGTTAGAGGTGTTGACATGAGAATTATGATAAAGACGAACTTTCAACATGTAAACAGTATGGAGTGCGAGGAAGAAAGAACATCACGGGGCCACCAGAGTGGAGATCTCAGTGAAGTTGAAAACTGCTGAAGTGGTTGTACCAAGTATAAGAAATTCTCAAAAGGCAGAACTTAAGTTTGAAAAATGGAATATGTGATCACTGGTAGTTGTGTTTCTGATGATGACAAGACTTGGGGTGTAATAATGGGTGCGATGGAAAAGCAGAGTAAGAAAGGTCATTGGTGCAGAGAACAAACTAAGAGTTGAGGTCTTGATTTGGTCATCTCTGTGGATGTCAAAGACTTCAAGAATAGTGAGGGTGATGAATGAGGGCGAGTGGGAGAGATTAGTAGCTGGTAAAAAAGGGGAAGGTGGTACGGCTGGATGGTATGAGCCTCAGAGAAGCGTAGACTGTGCAAGAGTGAGTGAAAATATAGTCTGGAAATGACAGTGAAGAGTAGGAGTACTCTAGCCAGCCCCAGCCCTGATGTACAGTGTGCGATGATCATCTGAGAGAGAACCAGATGAAAAGCAGCCAAGAAGGCAAGGGAGGCTCTCCATTCAGAGGAGCCGTGTGGGGAGTTGGAGTGTCCTGATCGCACGGAGGAAGCTCCAGGAGGGTGGAGGAGTATGAGGGGGCAGCAGTGAGGGTTTGGGGCAGAACAGGGATAAGAATTCAAGTCGTGAAGAACGACAGGTAATGGTAGTCTGTTCCTGGGAAGGTCTGGTCTCAGCAGTCTTGGAGGAGGACCAGCACTCAGTCCTAATGCTGTTGTCCTGTGGCACAGGAGAGCACCTGCAGCAGTCATTTCTTTAGGCTACTTGTGGTGACAGTAGAAATACAAATTTACTTATCTAGGGAAGTTAGGTTTTACTGGGCCCTGTAATATATATACACACACAGAATTCATGACACTTGTATTCTCGGGTCAGGTAACACCTAGACAAGCATCAAACCAGTGGGTTCAAAGGTAAGACAAAACTGCCCATTATCCATTAAGAAAGTTCACATATGATCTCTAGGAATGAAGTGCAATGAAAAAATACTGGCCTAGGAATCTGAAAAAGTGACTTCTAGTTTTACACATGGCACTTGCTAGTTGTATGTATATTTTGTTATTTACCTTCAAAATTTTGCTTTCATGTACAAGAAAAACCTGACAATATTCTTCCTGTTTATTTTGCAGTCAACAATTAAATGAGATAACAATTAAATGAGATAACATCAGGAACTGCATTATGAACTTATAAGTATACAGGAATATTTTTGTTGCTCTTATTAGGGAGGGGGTTGTCCAGAAACTCTGAAAACCTCAGATAACAGCAAGACTAACTAATTTGGGGATGAGGAACATTAGTTCTTGGGGTTGTAAGTAAAAACTGGAATGAGCTGTGTACTTGATGTTAGAGAAGACGTTTCTCAAATCCATAATATGGGGATTAAGGAAGTACTCCCTTCCTTCTTTAAGGGAATTTCAGGTCTACCTTTGGAAACTTTTGTCTTCAGCATGGGGTATAATAATATAGGAGCTGTGACCCTGGCCAACGCCGTGGCTCACTAGGCTAATCCTCGGCCCTGTGGCGCCGGCACAGCGGGTTCTAGTCCCGGTCGGGGCGCTGGATTCTGTCCTGGTTGCCCCTCTTCCAGTCCAGCTCTCTGCTGTGGCCAGGGAGTGCAGTGGAGGATGGCCCAAGTGCTTGGGCGCTGAACCCCATGGGAGACCAGGAGAGGTACCTGGCTCCTGCCATTGGATCAGCGCGGTGCGCCGGCCGCAGCGCGCCACCCGCGGCGGCCATTGGAGGGTGAACCAACGGCAAAGGAAAACCTTTCTCTCTGTCTCTCTCTCTCACTGTCCACTCTGCACTCTGCCTGTGCAAAAAAAAAAAAAAAAAGGAGCTGTGACCCTAAAGAGTTGCTGGGAAACATGGGATATAAACACCAGTTCCCAAAGCAGAGCCACCTAACCATATTTATGCCAGGGAAGCTTCCACAGTCCTGCAGTGTCTCAAGACCTTTTCCTGAAGTCATATTTTAAGGGAAGAAAGTGACATATAAAGCATTATTTTAAAAACCAGTTATGAGAGTGATGAGACATTTTTTAAACTGTTTTGTGATACATTTATATGTATGCTTCACTGCAAGCCAAATAATAAAATCTAGTAATAGATTTCAATACCATCATTTTGAAGTCAAGATGTATGTATGGGCTGGTGCCACGGCTCAATAGGCTAATCCTCCGCCTGCGGCTCCGGCACCCCGGATTCTAGTCCCAGTTGGGGGCACCGGATTCTGTCCTGGTTGCTCCTCTTCCAGTCCAGCTCTCTGCTGTGGCCCGGGAAGGCAGTGGAGGATGGCCCAAGTGCTTGGGCCCTGCACCCCATGGGAGACCAGGAGGAAGCACCTGGCTCCTGGCTTTGGATCGGTGCAGCACACTGGCCGTAGCGGCCATTTTGGGAGTGAACCAACGGAAAAGGAAGACCTTCCTCTCTGCCTCTCTCTCTCACTGTCTAAATCTGCCTGTTAAAAAAAAAAAAAAAAAAAAAGTGTGATACTAAGGTGTCAATAGTATATAAGAAAATATCTGATTTCTTTTACTTGGCAAGAGAAGTCACAAGTATAGTTAATGTTACTGTGGTTTGTTGCTTATTACAAGTGTTTGGAATTCAAAGAAATGTCACATTTCAGATAGAAGTTAGTGAAAGTAAAGATTAATTTTGTTCCTGAGTTCATGGACTGCCGATATCTACTAAAAGATTAAAAACAAAAAAAAAAAAAACCTTCAGAAGTTCTGACTGCGAGTGATTGCATTGCTGATTTTCTGTTAGTTACGATGATTGGTATGATTGAATCCCGTACTTTGAGTATGGGTTTGTCTTTTCCTCATATAGTTTTGTTAGGTTTTCTCTTTATAGATTTTCAGGCTATGTTACTACGCACATACAAATTCAAAACTGTTACAACATCGTGGATCATTTCATCACTGGGACATGTTCCTCTATAAATGCTTCTTGCCTTGAAGTCTGCCTTTTCCAATATTGAGAGTATACCCTTTTTCATCCTCTTATTTTCAACCTTTACATTTATTTTTTTAACACATTCATTTGAAACAGAGTGACACACACACACACACACACACACACACACGAAAGCAGAGAGACCGAGAGAGGAAATGCTTCTGTCCATTAGTTTGCTTCTCAAATATCTGTAATGGCCCACACTCCCTCTCTCTTCACCTCTGTCTCTAATCTTTGCTTCTCTTTTTTTCCTTTTGTTCATGGTCTCCTCAGGTTTCCTTTATCTCAGTTTAACATGCTCAGGGAAATAAGTTTCTGTCACCTTCAGTCTATGTGAATCCCAGGAACAGAGCCTGGCCTGGCTTGGGTCCAGTTCATGTCCTTTGCACCAGTCATTCTTAGCAGGGAGTGAGGTGTTGTGCCTGTTCAAGCCAGGTATAATGATCCTGCCTGGGAGGCAGTGGAAGGAGCAGTGGGCCACAGGGATGCACCAAAACCACGTAGGGTGTGGGTGGGGATGGGCAGGAGATGAGCTTCCCTAAGGAAGGAAGTTGTTGTTAGAGGAAGGGAGAAAATGCTGAACAGATAAGATAGTCACAAGCTTCTTCTGAGGCATTAGTGAAAGCACACATTTTGGCAAGTTTTTTTTTTTTTTAAGATTATTTATTTATTTATTTATTTGAAAGGTTGAGTTACAGAAAGTGAGAGGGAGAGACAGAGAGAAAGGTCATCCTTCCGTTGGTTCACCCCCTAAATGGCCGCTACAGCTGGAGTTGTGCTGAGCCGAAGCCAGGAGCCAGGTGCTTCTCCTGGTCTCCCATGGGGTGCAGGGCCCAAGCACTTGGGCCATCCTCCACTGCCCTCCCGGGCCACAGCAGAGAGCTGGCCTGGAAGAGGAGCAGCCTGGACAGAATCCGGCGCCCCAACCGGGACTAGAGCCTGGTGTGCCGGCGCCGCAGGCAGAGGATTAGCCAAGTGAGCCATGGCGCTGGCCCCAAGTTTTTTTTTTACTTTGAAATTGAACCATAGACTTGTAAGTCAGGAAGCTTTGGATCGGATCACCTTTGAGTCAGTCCTTCATAACACTTTGCACACAATTAGATGCTCAGTAATCGATTGTTTATTTCAACATCTATTTGGAATACTTTTTTTATTATTTTGAATTCTGGTCAAGATCTTAGGCAGACATTATCTGTTACATTCTTAGCTTTGAACTAAGTTATTTAATAATTGCTTCTATATTTAGTTCATGATCTTATTGGATAAAAGTTATTGGTAACTTGTTTAAACTATGTATGTAAAAACATGAATAAAGACCATTCCTCTTCAAATAAATGACAAGCAAATTGTATCCCCCATATTTTTAGTGGATTGCTTTTTTTGTTGCAAATAAGATCCCAAATCACAGAATTACTTGATGTGAAAGAAAATGATTTTAACATGTATTTGTCTTAATGGGCATACTTACTGTATTCACTTTTAAAATGAAAATTTGTTTAAAACATTTAATCTTTTTAGTTTAACTTGCTTTAGGAGTTTCTCTTTCGATTCAAATACCACAGTACTACGTAACACAAAAGCATTTGAATCATTTGCATATTGACTTATTTTTATCTTCTCTTCAGGAACTGAGAGAAAGCTATCATACACAGCAGTTAGCCCTTGAACAGCTTCATAAGATCAAACATGACAAGCTGAAGGAAATTGAAAGAAAAAGATCAGAGCTAATACAGAAAAAGAAACTAGAAGATGAGGCTGCAAGGTAAAATAGCTGATAAATTTATATTGCTGTTAGAATTCTAACTTTGTTTCCCAAGTCTTTAGTTTAACTGTGAAAATGTAACAGTTATCTTAGTGTGGTAATCAAATTCTAAATTGTATAAGTTTAGTACTACCTTCAGGGACTGAGTTTATGTTCTGTTAGTGAAAAAGAGAGACTCTGGAGTCAGACCTGACCTGCCACTTACTACATGGGTGAACTTGGCTAGATCACTTTCCCTTTTTACGCTTCAACTTTTCCATTTGATAAAAGACACAGGAATGTATAGCTCATTAATAATTGTGTTAATTAAAATAACATATCTAAAGGGGCTGGCGCTGTGGCATAGGGTGTTAAGCAACCGCCTGCAGTGCCAGCATCCCATATGTGTTCCCGTTCATGTCCCTGCTGCTCCACTTCCATTCCAGTCTCTGCTATGGCCTGGGAAAGCAGTAGAAGATGGCCCAAGTGCTTGGGCCCCTGCACCCATGTGGGAGTCCTGGAAGAAACTCCTGGCTCCTGGCTTTGGATCAGCACAGCTATGGCTATTGTAGCCATTCAAAGGGAGTAAATCAGCAGATGGAAGACCTCTCTCTCTCTGCCTTCTGTAACTCTGCCTTTCAAATAAATAAATCTTTAAAAATATAATAATAATAATAATAATAATGTAGCTAAAGAGCCAAGTATAATGTTTTGTACATAGTAAACACTCATTAGTCCATTTCTGTATAATAAATAAATCTGTTACTATTTCCTGAGAGATCATAAAATCCAAATGCTTAATTTTATAGAATAACACTGTGTTAAATGCATGTTGATCCAATTATCTGAGAAATGGCAATTACCACTGAGAAATGGCAATTGCCTCCATGTATAGCAAGAAATAAGGCATTTTTCTGATATCTGAAGTCTAGAACCATTTACCTAAAGACTTCACATGCTAAGGCTTGGAGAAGGTACTAAGTTGAGTGGTGGCAGCTCTGATGAAGATCATAAAAATACAAGTATAATGTATATTAGTTTTAACACTAAAATAATTAAGTCTGATTATAGATTGGCTGGATATCAAACAACAGTTTTATATCAAATGTCATAGAAATATGTACCGAAACACAAATATATAAAGGAAAAATATTATCTAAGTGAATGAAAAGGACTTTTTTTTTAATTTGAAAGAAAAAGAGATAGATAGACAGCTCCTGTAAGACCACCACAAAACACACCCAACACCAGAGTTAAGGGAAAGGTTTACTGTAGGGTGGGGGAAGCCCTACTGGCCAGGGGGAGAGGGTGAGAGAATAAGAGAGAAAGAGATCAGGAGGATCAGGAGAGAGATGTGTGCTGGAAGCAGATCCTGTTATACCTTAGCCAGGGGGCAGGGAAATAGGAGCAGTGAATCCCATTAGGGTAGGGGTGGAGCTGACACCTGTGGTTGGGCCATAGGGCTTAGGACTGAAGCTTACTGTGCAAGGTTGTGATGGGAGCCAGAGCCTAAGATGGCGTCTGGGGCATAGATGGTGCCACAGAAAAAACATTACCAGTTTACTAACAGTTCCCAACTACTGGTTTATACCCCAAGTGCCCACAATGGCTAGAACTCAGTGAGGGAAAAGCTGGGAACTGGGAGTTCATCCAGGTCTCCTGTGTGGAGGGTAAGGACCAAAAACTTGGGCCTCTACCTCTAGCCTCCCAGAGTCTGCATTGACAGGAACCTGGAATTAATTAGGAGCCAGATTATGGAATCAAACACAGACACTCCAACCAGTGTCCTAAGCAGTAGGTCAAGTGCTGGCCCCAAAAGACTTTTTGAAGTGGTAGCAGAATACCAGATAATCTTAACTATTTCAGCAGCAATGATTGGATCCCAGAGCCAGAGATTAGATGGGATAGTGGAAGTAAAAGCTGGGAGGCAATCCTTGTGCAGCTCCCTTAGAAGAAGGAGATGTAAATGTAATTGTTAGATTGGTTTGCTGGCCGGCGCCGCGGCTCACTAGGCTAATCCTCCGCCTTGCGGCGCCGGCACACCGGGTTCTAGTCCCGGTCGGGGCGCCGGATTCTGTCCCGGTTGCCCCTCTTCCAGGCCAGCTCTCTGCTGTGGCCAGGGAGTGCAGTGGAGGATGGCCCAAGTGCTTGGGCCCTGCACCCCATGGGAGACCAGGAAAAGCACCTGGCTCCTGGCTCCTGCCATCGGATCAGCGCGGTGCGCCGGCCGCAGCGCGCCGGCCGCGGCGGCCATTGGAGGGTGAACCAACGGCAAAGGAAGACCTTTCTCTCTGTCTCTCTCTCTCACTGTCCACTCTGCCTGTCAAAAAAAAAAAAAAAAAAGATTGGTTTGCTGAATGTTCCATTTCATATTCCCCCACACACACACCTTTTTTTTCTTTGTTTAGAGACAAGCAGGCAGGAGTAAATTGGAGGGTGCAAGATGATGTCAGTCATACACCGCAGCTCAGCCTTAGGCCAAGGCTCCTCCTCACATTGGCTGATACTGCTTAGTTCTCCGCTTCATCCTTTTTTTTTTTTTTTTAAGCTTTTATTTAGTAAGAAAGGTATATAAGAGAGTGAGAGCTTTATTTAGGGGAGAGAGGTGAATAGGGGTTCATACCAAGCACCAGGAACCAGCCACGTGGATGAGCATCTAGGCCAGGAAGCCTAGAGCACATGGCCCGAAGGCCATGAGCCCTGGAGGCGCAGGGCTACAGCAAGCCCTGTCCTGGCAAGAGGCCAGGGAAGAAGCGCAGGGCCCCAGGCACGCTTCGTCCTTGATCCCTGTTCCTATCCCCATCCCTATATGCTTTACTAGTTTTTTGCCTAGACAAGAACTAGATCTTCTGTTATACTTTATTTAATGTAAAATACGGTTTAGGTCATTCTGCAAACTTTTCTTTTACATATAGGAAAGCAAAGCAAGGAAAAGAAAACTTATGGAGAGAAAGTCTTAGAAGGGAGGAAGAAGAAAAACAAAAGCGACTCCAGGAAGAAAAAAAACAAGAAAAAATTCAAGAAGAGGAACGGAAAGCTGAGGGGAAACCAGGTAAGAATAGGAATAAAAATAACAAGTTTGGCTTTTCTGACACATAGCAACAAAAACAATATGAGAAAAAGATCTTGGGGTGAGCTTTTGGGCCAGTGTTTAAGACTGTTTGATATGCCCACCTCCCATATCGGAGTGTCTGAGTTGACCTCCAGTGGTTTTTGACTCCAGCTTCCTGCTGACATGCAGCCTGGGAGGCAGCAGGGGTTGGATCCCTGTCACCCACGTGGCAGACACATTTGGAGTTCCTGGCTCCTGGCTTCAGCCTGGTCCAGCTGTGGTCATTATAGGCATTTGGGGAGTGAACTGGCAGATGGGAGATCACTCTCTGTCTATCTCTGTCCCTCTTTCTGTCTCTTGAATTAACAAAAATAAAAATATAAGATCAGATGACACACTAAAAAGGATGAAAATTGAAGCAGAAAAATGGTTAGAGTAAAAAAAGAAAACCTTTGCTAAATTAAGCTTCACTTATTAGAATAGCCTGAGGGTGGAAATATTAACAGGAGAAAAGAAGGTCATGGGACCAGCACTGTGGCATAGTGGGTAAAGCTGCCGCCTGCAGTGCTGGCATCCCATATGGGCACCAGGTTTGAGTCCCAGATGCTCCACTTCCGATCCAGCTCTCTGCCATAGCCTGGGAAAGCAGTAGAAGATGGCCCAAGTCCTTGGGCTCCTGCACCCACATGGGAGACCCAGAAGAAGCTCCTGGCTTCGGATTGGCACAGCTCTGGCTGTTGCAGCCAGCTGGGGAGTGAACCATTGGATGGAAGACTTCTGTCTCTCTCTCTGCCTCTCCTTTTCTCTATGTGTAACTCTTTCAAATAAACAAACAAGTCTTAAAAAAAAAATGTCATTGTCTCTGAGTAGCTGTGAAAACAATCCTGACATTTTGGTAACTGATGTAAACAGTTTTAAGTATTGTATTCAACCATTGTAAATAAGCTATTTTTTTTTTTAAGATTTTATCTATTTATTTGAGAGGTAGAGTTAACAGACAGAAGGAGAGAGAGAGAGAGCTCTTCCATCTGCTGGTTTATTTCCCCAAACAGCCGCAATGGCCGGGGCTTGGTTGATCTGAAGCCAGGAGCTGGGGGGCTTCTTCCATGTGTCCTGTGTGGGTGCAGGGGCCGCAATGGCCGGGGCTTGGTTGATCTGAAGCCAGGAGCTGGGGGGCTTCTTCCATGTGTCCTGTGTGGGTGCAGGGGCCCAGATGCTTCAGCCATCCGCTACTGCTTTCCCAGGCTGTAAGCAGAGAGCTGGATCAGAAGAGGAGCAGCTGGGACACGAACCAGCGCCCATATGGGATGCCAGTACTGCAAGCAGAGGTTTAGCCTACTATACCACAGCACTGGCTTCATAAGCTGTTTATTTTAATGAAATAACAGAAATCTTTGCACAGTGGTGTTTTTTCTCAGAATACGTAATCTTGTTTTGATTTACCTCAGAGTCTATTCCTATAATACTATATTATTATTTCTCTTTTGTGTGCATAACACTTTGATCTATATTAATGATAGAATGTGTTGAAAACTTCACTAGTTTATTAAAAAGCATTTATTCTAAAACTGAGCAGTGTGGTGTGGACATTTGGCCTACTGGTTAAGATGCCAGTTGGGTCATTAGCATCCCACATCAGAGTTCCTGGGTCTGATACCTGGCTCTGCTCCTGACCCCAGCTTCCTGCTAACGCAGACCCTGAGAGGCAGTGGATGGCTCTAGTTGGGTCCTACTGTCCACGTACGAGAATTGGATTGAATTCCCAACCCCTGAGTTCTGCCTTGAGCCCTGTTGTGGGCATTTGGCAATTGAGTAGGCAGCTCACTTGCTCTCTTTCTGTCAAATAAATAATAAAAATATGCACAACAAAATATTTGTAGTATTGTCTCCATTTGGGGGGCCCTTCTGCTGCTTTTCTTCCACACTGATCAATCTGTGGATCTTTCTGCAGCTAACCCAGTTTACTTGCTGAGCTTCTCATTTGTGACCTGCCTTTTGTTCATCTCTTTCTTGTCATATTCTGAGTCCCACAGATCAAACCACATCTCCCTTTGCTTAGTCTTTTCTTCCTCTTAGTACAGCTCAGCCTGGCCACTCCTCCCTACCTTCTTCCCTCAGTCTGCAAGTTCATTTTACATGAACATCCTTATTTGCTTTTATATTGATGATATGATTGGTCAAGATATTTAAATCCTAACAAGCCTATCAAATGGATTTCCATTATAGTGTTTGATACTCGGTGTTTTTCTTTTAAATTTAAAGAATTCTCAATTGAGTCATAGCAAAAATATATATACATAAAAGTAGCAAATAATGACAATTTTCTTTTTAGGTGAGACAGCTAATGCTTTGGTGAATTATAGAGCATTATACCCCTTTGAAGCAAGGAACCATGATGAGATGAGTTTCAATTCTGGGGATATAATTCAGGTAGGAAACAAAGGGTTTTTTTTTTCTTAAGTAAGCTAAATATAATACAATATGTTATTTTCTATAATGATATTGGGTATAATTTTTATGTGGTTATTTATGCTTCTAAAATATTTCCTAAAGGGTCAGCATTCTGGCATAGCTGGTAAAGCTAGTTTGTGTCCAGGCTGCTCCATTTCTAATCTAGCGCCCTACTAATGGTCTGGGAAAAGCATTGGAAGATGGTCCAAGTACCTACGCCTCTGCTTCTCATGTGGGAGACCTGGAAGAAGTTCCTGGCTACTGCTTTGGCCTGGCCCGTTCCCCACCATTGTGGCCATCTGGGGAGTAGACCAATGGATGGAAGATCCCTCTGTCTCGCCCTTTCTTTATGTAACTCTGACTGTCAAATACATGCTCACTTGGCTAATCCTCCGCCTTGCGGCGCCGGCACACCAGGTTCTAGTCCTGGTTGTTGGCGCCAGATTCTGTCCCGGTTACCCCTCTTCCAGTCCAGCTCTCTGCTGTGGCCCGGGAAGGCAGTGGAGGATGGCCCAAGTGCTTGGGCCCTGCACCTGCATGGGAGACCAGGAGGAAGCACCTGGCTCCTGGCTTCGGATCGGTGCAGCACGCTGGGCGTAGCAGCCATCTGGGGGGTGAACCAACGGAAGGAAGACCTTTCTCTCTGTCTCTCTCTCTCACTGTCTAACTCTGCCTGTCAAAAAATTAATAAATAATTAAAAGAGGATTTCTTCAATATTACCTGTTTGGCCTTCCTATATCCCTCAGAGCTGCCTTGGACAGCTACGATTGCCCTGTTCTAGCAGAGGAAGCATAGGCCCCCTGGAGATTGTAACCGTCAGCTCCACAGTACCAGAAGGGTGCAAGTACACGTCTTCTGATTTCCAAATCAAGTGTTCTTTCTACTGTGCCATACCGATCTTGTTATTTTACTAAATTAACAGTAAAATGGGGGTGGGGGCTTATTATTTTCTAGCAGCTTTTGAAAGAGTTGAAGGAGTTAGATTCTCCAGTCCTAACTGGATACAGGCCATTTGTTTCTTGAAACAAAAGGTCTTTATTGTACTGTTAAAATCCATGTAAAATGGATGAATAAGAGAAGATGTAGGGAATAGTGTTTGAGAAAGCCAGTTTGACATAGTTGAAAGAGTTCCTAGGACTTTCATCACTGCTCATTTTCTTAGTAAATTAAAGTAATATAGCCCAGAGTCTGTAGCCCATATCTGTTTTCTTTCATTCCTGCACTGTCAGCAGTTTGGTGTAGTTTATCAGTTAGGTAGTAAATGTTTAATGATACCAGAACTCAAGTACCCAAGATAATCCCCAGTGTGCCATTTCCAACACTTAGGGAGTGAACCAGTAGATAAGACACTCTCTCCCCCTCTTCCTCTCTCTCCCCCTCCCTCCCTCCCCCCCTTCTTTCTCTCTCTGCCTCGCAAATAATTTTTTAATTGAAGACAGAAATAAATGGAAATATATATTGCGTTTGTGATTGGAAGATTCAACATTGAGAAGAAATTGGTTCTCAAATTGTTGCATAGATTCAAGATTGTTTTAATCAAACTCCCAGCAGGCTTTTTTTGGTGGAAATTGACAGTCTGATTCAAAACCAAAACAACTTTGAAGAAGAAGAATACAGTTGGAAGTTTTATGGTACCTCAATTTAAGATTTATTTTTAAAAATAAGTCAGTTAAAAACAGTTATGTTATTAGCATTCAGAGAGGAAATAGATCATGGAGCAGAATAGATAAATACACACCCAGGCGCACACACACAGCAAATGTACAAAAGCAACTCAGTGGTAAAAGGATAATCTTTTCACAAATGGGATAGCCATTTGCAAAAAATATGAATTTTGATTTATTCCTTGCAACATGTATACAAATTAACTCAAAATAGATCAAATTAAAAACCTAAAGGTGGAATTTCTAGAAGAAAACATTAGAAAATCTTTATGACTTTGGATTCCTCAAAATTTTTTTTAAGATTTATTATTTATTTGAAAGAGCAACAGAGAAAGAGGGGAAGAAAGATCTTCCATCCACGGGTTCATTCCTCAAATGGCGGCAACCGCCAGAGCTGGCCCAGACTGAAGCCAAGAGCCAGGAACTCCATCTGGGTCTTCCACACGAGTGGCAGGGGCCCAGGCACTTAGGCTGCCTTCTTCTGTCTTCCCAGTTGCTTAAGCAGAGATCAGAAACAGAGCAGTGGGACTCCAACTTGTACTTTTTTTAAAAAAAGTAACTGGAATTCTTTTAATTGTGTCCTTTTTTTAAAGATCATTTATTTATTTGAATGTCAGAGTTACACAGAAAGAGAAGGGAGAGAGAGAGGCGAGGTCTTCCATCCGCTGGTTCACTCCCCAGTTGGCTGCAATGGCTGGAGCTGCACCGATCTGAAGCCAGGAGTCAGGAGCTTCTTCCGGGTCTCCCACGTTGGTGCAGGGGCCCAAGGACTTGGGCCATCTTCTACTGCTTTCCCAGGCCATAGCAGAGAGCTGGATTGGAACTGGTGCCCATATGGGATGGTGGCACAAGGCTGGCCCCTAAGATCAATTCTTTAACATCAATACCTTATTATTAAAAAAAAAAAAGGTTTATTTAGGGGCTGGCACCAATATGGGATTAGGAGTCCTAGGTGGCAGCTTAACCCGTTGTGCCACAACACCGGTCTCAAAGATTTTTTAGAATCTTAAGAAGTAGGTTTTCTTTTTGAGGAAAAATGTTCTATAGCTAATCACAGTAATGGTTGTATAATTTTGTGAATATACTAAAGTCCACTTAATCATATACTTTAAATGAGAGAATTGCATAGTATGGGAGTTATATAAGACAATGCAGATTAATAAAGCATTATTAACAATAAAAAAAGTTAAACATACTTGTGCTGTGTGACCCAGCCATTCCAGTCCCAGGTATTTATCTACAAGAATTGAAAGAGTGTATGCTTGCAAAGACAGATATTTGTGGCAACTTTACTTATTCAAATGTTCATCAGCAGGTAAAAGTATAAACAGTGTGGTATATCCATGTGATATGATGTCACTCAGAAATAAAAAGAAATAAACTGTTCATACTTAACACAACATGGATAGATCTCAAAATAATTATGCTAGGCAAAAACGGCAAACGAAAAGGATATGTATTATATACATTTATATAAAATTCTGTAAAATGAAAACATCTACAGGGACAGGAAGCAAGCCACGTGTTTTCTAGGAGATGGGGTGAAGGTCAAGGAGAAGGACGAGAGGAAGGCCTTATAATGGAGCAAGAGGAAGCTTTTGGGAATGATGGATGTGTTCATTATTTTAATCGTGATTGTACACACATATTTAACTTAACCAACACTAACAACTTAAACATGAAATTTTTGTTAATTATACCTCAAGCTATTTCTAAAATGTGATGGATTCTGCATAATGTTAATAGATCAAATCTGTTTTAGATGTATATGGGAGATGGAGTGGAGAACAGGCACAGTTGGCACATTCATTTACTCTGAATTAAGCAGATAGATACTATTTTAGACAGTGGGTGTTCATAAAAGGCTGCCAGTCCCTGAGAGGAACTTCTTCGTAAAAAAAGGGTTTATGTTGGCTTATAGTTGGGATTTACACAGTTCAATATCAGGTGACCTCAGTAGCCTGGTGTCTGGTGTAGGCTGGCAGTGGAGTGTGCAGATGCATAGTCACATGGGGAGTTGTGTCCCCTGGAAGAAATCAGTTGTGAGGATAGCTTTTGGATTACAGAGAGAACTGGTCACTGTACAGATGAGCCTGTTTGGGACCTGTGTAGCCTGAGGCAAGAAAGCCCGTGGTGAACCTTGTTTATGGGACAGGAACCAAGAAGCAGAGGAAGACACAAACTATGAGGACAGAGGTGCCACACTGTATGGGAAATATATTTTATACTTGGAAAACAGTATTCAGAGATCTTATAGTTCTGTTAGAGAGGTCAAAAGTCCATGAAATAAAACCAGAGAAAACAAAGTTAAAAAACAGTCATGGTGGCCAGTGTTGTGGTGTAGCATAAAACTACCACCTGCGACCCACACCCCATATGAGCACCAGTTTGAGTCCCAGCGACTCCACTTCCAAGCCAGCTCCCTGCTAATGTGCCTAGGAAAGCAGAAGATGACCCAAGTTGCTTGAACCCCTGCCAGCCATGTGGGAGACCAGGATGAAGTTCCAGGCTTTTGGCTTCTGCCTAGCCCAGCCCTGGCCATAGGGGCCTTTTGGGTAGTGAGCCAGTGGATGAAAGATCTCTGTCTCTCCCTCTCTCTCTGTAACCCTGCTTTCAAATAAATAAATAAATCTTAAAAAAAAAAAAAACTATTGGTCAACTATAGGAAATTTAAAAATTGAAAGGAATTGCAATCAGTAGGAAGCTACATGACTCAGATGTGAAATATTGGATCATAAAAATAGACATTAAATATAATTTTTAAAAATCTTCTATTGCTAAGTCTCAAATTTTTATATGTTCCAATTAGGTGAGGAGGTGGCCAGTTAAGGCAGAAAAGGCCTTTATTGTACACAGGACAGCATGGCCGAAGAAGTAAGATTCACATTTGGATGGCAAACAGGGGTGTGAAAAGAGGTTCAGCCCCCAGGGCGGCAGGCAGTCAACTTTTTAAACTTCTTTTCTGGGGAATGGGTCTTCCTATATGTAGATACCCTGGCCACTGCGGTCAGGTGGGTCTGAACAGGCCAAAGACCCCTTGACAGCTGTTCATTGTTTTCAAAGACAGCAATTTACCATGTTTGGTCTTAACAGTTCAGGATGTCCCTGTACAAGCTGCTGCCAAGCCTGTGGACTCTCGGGCAGTAAAAGCCCACTGTATAATTTTTAGGGTTGTTTTACTTGTATCTAATTTTATCAGGTTTGAAGTTTTGTGTCCCAGTGACCTAGCAAGTTCTAACATACAACAGTATTGGTAGAGTAAGAAAATACGGTGATGGAAAGGTAAATCTTTGTTTTCCAAAACCAAAGCCAGTAGATAATGTCTGTGATTGAAAAAATTTAAGAAATAACAGTATGAGTATGTTCTTTAGAAATACAGAAGAAACCAGTAAGAATAGCAAGTTATTGTTAGGAGTGGGAATCAGGGCTAAAGAGCAAGTAGGGCAAGTGTTTTCCATCTTAAGCCATGTGTGATGCTGTTTGTGGTTGTAAATTGTTTTCATGTATTAACTTGGATAACACTGAAATTTTAAATGTAAAAAGTTAATTTGTCAATCACTAGAAATAATAACTGTTAGTCTATAAAACATAGGGCCAGTGTTGTGGTGCAACAGATAAAGCCACCGCCTGTTACACCAACATTTGAGTGCTGATTTAAGTTCCACCTCTGATCCAGCTGCCCGCTAATGCACTTGGGAAACCAGCAAAGGATGACCCAAGTGCTTGGGCCCCTGCCACTCATGTGGGAGGCCTGGATGGAATTCTTGGATCTTGGCTTCAGCCTGGCCCAGTCCTGACCCTTGTGATCATTTGGGGAGTGAGCCAGCAGATGAAAGATCTCTCTCTTTGTAATTCAATTAAATAAATAATTTCTAAGAAATTTTTAAATTAAATAACTAATTCCATTAAATAAATATTTCTTTATTCAATTAAATACATCTTTTAAAGGATTTTTTTGTAGAAAATAGCTATTTGATTAAATGATCTTAATTCTGAAAATGAGAATACTATATAATAGTCTGCATCTATTTTCATTATAAATATGTGGATTCTAAGCACTGTTAATGCTTCCTTTTTTCCCTTAGGTTGATGAAAAAACCATAGGAGAACCTGGTTGGCTTTATGGTAGTTTTCAAGGAAATTTCGGTTGGTTTCCATGCAATTACGTAGAAAAAATGCCATCAAGTGAAAAAGCCGTATCTCCTAAGAAGGCCTTACTTCCTCCTACAGTATCCTTATCTGCTACCTCAACATCTTCTGAGTAAGTGTTTAGCTAATAGAGGAATTCATGTAGCTGTGCCTGTGTGTGAACTCCAATATGTAGGTATGCCATCCTGCCACTTTGTCATGTTACAATCGAAACTAGACTGGACCTCCAAGAATATTATTTGTTCCAAATTTAATACCAACGTTTAGTCAGTGATAACATAGATTAGTAGTTTGTTCATTTTTTTTTTTTTTTTTTTTTTTTTTTGACAGGCAGAGTGGACAGTGAGAGAGAGAGACAGAGAGAAAGGTCTTCCTTTGCCGTTGGTTCACCCTCCAATGGCCGCCGCGGCCGGCGCACCGCGCTGATCCGATGGCAGGAGCCAGGAGTCAGGTGCTTTTCCTGGTCTCCCATGGGGTGCAGGGCCCAAGCACCTGGGCCATCCTCCACTGCACTCCCTGGCCACAGCAGAGGGCTGGCCTGGAAGAGGGGCAACCGGGACAGAATCCGGCGCCCCGACCGGGACTAGAACCCGGTGTGCCGGCGCCGCTAGGCGGAGGATTAGCCTAGTGAGCCGCGGCGCCGGCCAGTAGTTTGTTCATGAATTCCTTTTTTTTCCACAAATTGTAAACATACTGTATGTATCACAAACAAGTTGATAAGTGGTAGTATTTTATTAGTTTCTAAACAGGTAAACAAACTTAAAATGTTATCTTTGCAGACCACTTTCTTCAAATCAACCAGCATCAGTGACTGATTATCAAAATGTATCTTTTTCAAACCTAACTGTTAATACATCATGGCAAAAAAAATCCGCTTTTACTCGCACTGTGTCCCCTGGATCTGTGTCACCTATTCATGGACAGGTATGTTGTCTGTAATTTATTCCTTGAATTTGCTCCTGATTCATACAAAATAAAATGAAGATTTTATACAAAGTCATCATTCACTCATTTAACTAGTTTGTAGCATTTAGTTTCTATTATTAGCATTTATATATGATGTGAAGTTGAAGAAATGATTATTACTTAGATGTTTCTCAGCAATTAACTCCCACTGTGTAAAGTTGCTAACAGGGGCTGGCACTGTGGCGTGGTGAGTAAAGCCACCGCCTTCAGTGCCGGAGTCACATATGGGTGCCAGTTCGAGTCCCAGCTGCTCCACTTCCGATCTAGCTCTCTGCTGTGGCCTGGGAAGGCAGTGGAAGATGGCCCAAGTCGTTGGGCCCCTGCAACCATGTGGGAGACCCGGAAGAAGCTCCTGGCTCATGGCTTCAGATCGGCGCAGCTCTGGCCATTGCAGCCATTTGGGGAGTGAACCAGCAGATTGAAGACCTCTCTTTCTCATTCTCTCTCTCTCTATTTCTCTCTCTCTCTCTCTGACTCTGACTTTCAAATAAAAAATAAATCTTTTAAAAATAAGTATAAAATAAACAAAGTTGCTAGCAGGTGTTTCTAAGCTCAGAATATCATTTTTATAATTTCTATTATAAATTCTTGATTTGTAGCTATTGTAAGACGATAAAAAAATTTGGACTTTAAGGGCTTCTGTCATTTTTTTCTTAAATAATTCATTTGTCTGGGAACCTTGGAACTTTATTGCATATATTTAGCCTTTGATTTAGATGTAGTCATTGCAGATGCAAGGATACTTCAGAAGGTCATGGAAAATGGAAACAGAAAGTAAGTTTGCTCTATTTTGGTGTGAAGGAATCTGGAAACTCTGGGCAGGTGTCGCTCCCCCTCTTCGTGGAGGAACGACACAGGACCCTGCGCTGTTCTTTCGTCTGCTCGGCCCTCCCCGGGTTTGCTGCTGGTTCTTCCCGGGTTGGCTACTATCCCTTCCACCTCCGTGGAAGGGCAGTTCCCCCTAGCCACATTCCCCACTTCCGCAGGGGAGCGGCACACCGCCGGCCGGCTTTCTCGGGGGCTGCACGGGTTCCCTTAGATGTTCCCCATAGATGTTCCCTGGTGCATGCCGTCTCTCTCCTCCTTTATAGTCCTCCTCCGCCAATCCCAACTCGGCTGCCCACACGCCGAGCACGCTGCTCTCCTCCAATCAGGAGCAAGTCCTACAGTTTATTAGTTGAACTGGAGGCAGCTGTGCGGAAGCTGTTTACTTCTCTCCCAACGCCATGTTGTGGGAGAGCAGATGCATAGAATAAGTCTTAATTTCAGTAACTTAGTCCAGTCCGGATTGCTCCCCACAGGCAGGAGTCTGGTGCCCTGGCTGAAGCCCCACCTGGGACACCTGCAGCACATACTGCAGTGCTGGGCTTGAGTCCTGGGCTCTCGTCCTGGCTCCTCTGCCTCCTTCCAGCTTCCTAGTAGTGCACAGCCTAGAGGCAGCAGGTGCTGGCTCCTGTACCTGGGCCCCTGGGAGGCTGGGCTCCTGGCTTTGAGTTGCCCTAGCCCTAGCATTTGGGGAATGAACTAGTAGATGGAAGATCTGTGTGTGTGTTTCTCTCTCTTTCTCTGCCTTTCATATAAGATGAAAATAAATAAAATGCTTAAATTAAAACTTTTGGGCCGGCGCCGTGGCTCACTAGGGTAATCCTCCGCCTGCAGCGCCGGCACACCGGGTTCTAGTCCCGGTCGGGGCACCGGATTCTGTCTCGGTTGCCCCTCTTCTAGGCCAGCTCTCTGCTGCAGTCTGGGAGTGCAGTGGAGGATGGCCCAAGTACTTGGGCCCTGCAACCGCATGGGAGACCAGGAAAAGCACCTGGCTCCTGGCTTTGGATCAACACGGTGCACCAGCTGCAGTGCACTGGACGTGGCGGCCATTGGAGGGTGAACCAACGGCAAAGGAAGACCTTTCTCTCTGTCTGTCTCTCTCTCTCACTGTTCACTCTGCCTGTCAGGGAAAAAAAAAAAACAACCAACTTTTGCAATCCATACGTAGTTTTTTCATGATACACACTTTCCATGAACTTTTTGAAGATCCTTTGTATTATTGCATTAACATTATTAAAAAGAGGCAGGCGCCATGGCTCACTAGGCTAATCCTCCACCTTCGGTGCCGGCACACCAGGTTCTAGTCTCGGTTGGGGCACTGGATTCTGTCCCGGTTGCCCCTCTTCCAGTCCAGCTCTCTGCTGTGGCCCGGGAAGGCAGTGGAGGATGGCCCAAGTGCTTGGGCCCTGCACCCGCATGGGAGACCAGGAGGAAGCACCTGGCTCCTGGCTTCGGATCAGCGCAGCACGCCGCCCATAGCAGCCATTTGGAGGGTGAATCAATGGAAAAGGAAGACCTTTCTCTCTGTCTCTCTCTCTGTCTAACTCTGCCTGTCAAAAAAAAAAATTATTAAAAAGAAATCACAAACTTCATAAGAACAGGACCCTTTAAATTTACCTTCATTCGAAAATGTGTATTCTAAGTAAAATCTGGACTGAGTAATTAGCCTAGCAGTTGAGATGCCTGTATCCCACATTAGAGTGCTTGGGTTTGGGTCTTGGCTCTAGCTCTTGACTCCAGCTCCCTGCTAGTGCAGACTCTGGGAGGTGGTAGTGATGGTTCAGGTAGTTGGGTTCTTGCCACCCATAAGGCAGAACTGCATTGAGTTCCCAGCCCCAGCTTCTGCCCTGGCCTACCAGTGATGATATAGGCATCTAAGGAGTGAACTGGCCACTGGAAGTACTCTCTCCCCCTCTCTCTGTCTCTATGTCTCAAATACATTAATATTTTTTAAGGATTTATTTGAGAGGCAGAGTTACAGACAGTGGGAGAGACTGAGATAGAAGTGTTCCTCCCACTGGTTCACTCCCCAAATGGCCCCAAGGGCCAGAGTTGAGCTGATCCAAAGCCAGGAGCTTCTTCTGGGTCTCCCACATGGGTGCAGGGACCCAACGACTTGGGCCATCTTCCACTGTTTTCTCAGGCCATAAGCAGAGAACTGGATTGGAAGAGGAGCAGCCAGGACAGGAACCGGTGCCCATATGGGATGCCAGTGCCACAGGCAGATGCTTAGCCAACTATGTATGCCACAGCAGCAGCCCCAACACATTAATTTTTTAAAATAACAGGTGAAATTATTCTTGATTGTTTTGTGTATATATTGCTGTAATAAACCACTCCAAAATGAAAAAGATAATATGTAGTCTACAACCACATGTTCTAGAAATTTTAGGATGTGCTTGAAATTTAAGGAAAATAAGTTAAAAATCCCTGCCATCATGGGCTGGCATTGTGGTGTACCGGGTTAAGCCACCACCTGCAGTGTTGGCATACCATAAGAGTGCCAGTTTGAGTTCCAGCTACTTCACTTCCAATGTAGCTCTCTGCTATGGCCTGGGAAAGCAGCGGAGGTTGGCCCAAGTGCCTGGGCCTCTGCACCCACATGGGAGACCCAGATGAAGCTTCTGGCTTCAGTCTGGCCCAGCTATGGCTATTGCAGCCATTTTGGGAGTAAACCAATGGATGGAAGGTCTTTCTGTATCTCCCTTCCTCTCTATAACTCTGCATTTCAAGTAAAATAAATCTTAATTTTTTTTTAAATTCCTGCCACCACATAGTATATAATTTAATGAAAGAGGCATATTAGTAAGCGTAAAGTATGAGAAATGTTGTGATGAACATGTCTACTAAGTCCTAAGGAGGTCTGCAAATAAAGAGCCTCCTACTCCATCTGTCGTGTTGGAGCATACTTCACAAAGGGCAAGCTATTTGAATAGGACCTTTCAGAGATAAGCAAGATTTCACCAGAGAAGGAAGGTTACTCCAATGAAAGGACAACCTGGGGAAAGTCACTGAGACCTGTTAATGCGAGGTGGCTATCAGAAACAAGAAATGTTTATAGTGTGGCTGGAGCACAGGATTCGTGAAGAAAGGGTCAAGGAGTAAAGTTGAAAAGAGGTCGAGGTTCGTTTGTGAAGTATTTACTGCCACACCAAGCAGCCTGGCAGTAGGAAGTCCCCACGGGCTCCTAAGGCCTTGATGCATATCCTGTAGCAAGATGACTGGCAAGAAGGTAGAGGCCAGGCTGGTGGAGGAAACCAGTTGCCGAAGACTGTTACAACAACTGAGTAATGAGGTGATGCTGTATACCAGTGTGCTGGTTATGAAAATACATGGAAGAAGAGATGGATGTAGAGAGTATTAGGAACTGACACTAACACATAACCCATTAAACTGGAGACTGAGGAAGAAGTTGGAGTTAAAGAGAATTCTTCAGAGTGGTATCATTGTCTTTGGTGTAAAGTATAGGAAGAGATGGTTTAGTTAGAGTCTAAAAGTGATTGCATTTCAGACGTGTTAACTTTGAGATGTCTGTATTAGGGAGAACCTCATGGAAATACTCAGTAAGCGGAGGTGGGGGTGGGGTTGGGGTTGGGGAGGTAGAGTGGCACTGTGGCATAGCCTGTAAAGCCATGTGGGCGCCTGTTTGAGTCCTGGCTGCTCCACTTCTGATCCAGCTCCCTGCTGATACACCTGAGAGTGCAGAAGATGGCCAAAGTACTTGGACCCTCCCACCACATGGGAGACTGGATGAAGCTCCTGGCTCCTGACTTTGGCCTGGCCCAACTGAAGCTGTTGTGGCCATTTGGGGAGTGAACCAGTGGATGGAAGACACCTCTCTCTCTCTGCCTTTCAAATAAATTAATTAATTAAAAAAGAAAGAGTCAGCAGTTGGATGTACCTTTCTGGAGCTCACAGAATATCGTTATATTGGAAGCATAGATTTGAGAAGTCCTAGGCATAAGTAAGATTATTGAGGAACAGTAAGGGAAAGAGACTGGACAGAACGGGGGCTGTCAGTCACCGGAGAGGGAACCTCATGACCACAAGTGTTTTTTGTGACATCAGCACTGTCAAAGACCAAGGAAAATAAGAGTTTGGAGGAAGCATTGAGCTTTTTTTTTTTTTTTTTTTTTTTTGACAGAGTGGACAGTGAGAGAGAGAGACAGAGAGAAAGGTCTTCCTTTTGCCGTTGGTTCACCCTCCAGTGGCCGCCGCGGCCGGCACACTGTGGCCGCCACACCGCGCTGATCTGAAGGCAGGAGCCAAGTGCTTCTCCTGGTCAGCATTGAGCTTTTCTATTACTGTTAGCTACCTGGTTTGGCAGAGGTTCGTTAGTGTGATCTGTGCAGAACTTAAGCTAGAAAGGATTGAGGGCTGAAACTGGAAAGCAAGTTTAAGACTCCTTTTAAGAAATTTAGAAGTGGAAGAAAGTAGAGAAATGGAGGAAGAGAGAGAAGAGAGGAACTTAATGTAAAATATTTTTAGAACAGGAAGAGGTATAATAGAAATTTAGAGTATAAGAAGTTAGCCTTATTAAAAGAACAAAAACACTCTTTTCTCTGAGAGGGGAGGAGAGAGAAAAAAGAATGGATAAGAATGTGAAGTTAGGAGACAGCAGAAAAATGGAGAGAGCGAGCAAAGCTACGTCTGTTTGTAGTGGAGTGAACTAAATCAGCTACAGGGAGGAGATATAGGAAGCTGGAGGAGAGAAAAGGTTTCCTTTGTTTCTTGATATATTTGATGGATTTGTGAGTACATTATTGTATACCTTCTGTTTGTCTTGCCTAGAAGTGATGATGTTTCCTTGAATGGTAGGCATTCAGTCTTTTTTTTTTTTTTTTTTTTTTTTGACAGGCAGAGTGGACAGTGGACAGTGAGAGAGAGAGACAGAGAGAAAGGTCTTCCTTTGCCATTGGTTCACCCGCCAATGGCCGCCGCGGCTGGTGCGCTGCGGCCGGTGCACCGCGCTGATCTGATGGCAGGAGCCAGGTACTTCTCCTGGTCTCCCATGGGGTGCAGGGCCCAAGCACCTGGGCCATCCTCCACTGCACTCCCTGGCCACAGCAGAGAGCTGGCCTAGAAGAGGGGCAACCGGGACAGAATCCGGTGCCCCGACCGGGACTAGAACCCGGTGTGCTGGCGCCGCAAGGCGGAGGATTAGCCTAGTAAGCCGTGGCGCCGGCCGGCATTCAGTCTTAAAGAAGGCTGATAACATAATGTCTATCATATTTAAGTCAGTTGGTAGATTGAGCTTGTCATAAGTCTTTACTGGGGCTGGTGCTGTGACTTAACGGGTAAAGCTGCCACCTGCAGTGCTAGCATCCCATATGGGCAACAGTTCAAGACCTGGCTGCTCCATTTCCGATTCATCTCTCTGCTATGGCCTAGGAAATCAGTAGAGGATTGCCCTGGTCCTTGGGCCCCTGCACCCACGTGGGAGAGCTAGAGGAAGCTCCTGATTCCTGGCTTCAGATCAGCGCAGCTCTGGCCATTGAGGCTAGTTGGGGAGTGAGCCAGCGGATGGAAGAACTCTGTCTCTCTCTGTCTCTCTTCTCTCTGTAACTCTGACTTTCAAATAAATAAATAAATAAATATTTAAAAAAATTTTTTTACACCAAACTGCTGTTCAAACTGTTAAGTGTGTTATATACTGGGAAACAGAAATCATGGCTACCACTTCTTTTAAAAAAATTTTTTTTTTTATTCACAGGGACAGGTTGTAGAAAACTTAAAAGCACAGGCCCTTTGTTCCTGGACTGCAAAGAAAGACAACCACTTGAACTTCTCAAAACATGATATTATTACTGTCTTGGAGCAGCAAGAAAATTGGTGGTTTGGGGAGGTACACGGAGGTAGAGGATGGTTTCCAAAATCTTACGTCAAAATCATTCCTGGGAGTGAAGTGAAGCACGAAGAGTAAGCATCTTTCTGTGTTTGCTTAAGGTGTGGGGGCTGGTGTTTTCACTGAGTCGGCAGAGGTTATGACTGACTGTACAACAAAGCTGAAAGTTGGGGCAGGACATTGTGATGACTGCCACGTGGGACACCTATAGACCATATCAGAGGGCCTCGCTGAAGTCCTGGCTACTGCACACTCCAGTCCAGCTTTCTGCGAATGCACTCAGGAGGTAGCACTTAATGGTCCAGGTACTTGGGTTCCTGCACCCACGAGGGAGGCAAACAGTTCTGGCTCCTGGCTTCCATACACACACACACACACACACACACACACACACACGTATATATAGCTATGGGTAACTATTTGTGTTTATATGAAAGTGGATCTAAATGAAAAGACATTCAGATTTCATGGAAAGGTACTGGGTTTTGAAAATCACAAGGCTGAATTTTTGTTCTGTCTTTTCCAGACTGCAAGGAGTAACCTATTTGTTCTTCAGTGTTTTAGTCAATTGAATGAAAACATTAGATAATCTTTAATAATTCTGTAACAATGACACTAGCTGAGATTTGTATGTTGACGCTGTGTTACTTCCTTTATAGTAATAATCCTGTTTAACTGCATGACATTTTACTGAGAAGAAAGCCTAAGCAAAGGGATTAAGTTTAAATTTTAGTTTTAGAAGGCATTTTTCTAGCTTTGATTCACTTGCAGATTCCCTCTAGTGTGTGAGACCTGCCTTGTCAGCCCGTAGTGATGGGAGTTCAGCTCTAGACAGGCAGTCCTTCCGCTGGGGCCACAGCGAGGCTCACTTTCAGTTGACTTGAAAGCTGCCTCACTGTACCATTTGCTCACTGGTCCTGAGGAGCCCTGGGCATCCTACAGGTGTCCACTTCTTAAACATGCTTCCATCAGATTTCTGAATGGGCTAGGGTTTGAAATGGAAATTAATGTTATACCTGTTCTGAGGTATAAGTCCCATTATTTTGTTATTTTTAATGTAGTATGCCCTAAGCAAATAATAAAATTCAGGTATTGCCTTTATTTTCCCTAAAGCAAGCAAAACCCCATGTATGTTTTAGGGAAAGACTGCCCATTTACCAATGTGTGGTGTCTAAGTTCAGGAAGGCAAATTATCTCACATTTGAAAAACTGTTTAAATTATATTGAAATTATGTTAACATTTTTAAAAAGATTTATTTATTTGAAAGAGTGACAGAGAGAGAAGGGGTATGGGAGAGGCGAGGTTGGGAGAGACCTTTTCCATCCACTGGTTTACTCCCCATATACCTGCAACAGCCCAGACCAGACTGAAGCCAGGAGCCAGGAACTCCTCCCAGGTCTCCCACATGGGTGGCAGGGACTCAGATACATTTAGCAGAGAGTTCAGTTGGGAGTGGAGTAGCCAGGACTCAAACCTGCACTCCGATAGCTGATGCAGGCGTGGCAAGCAGAGACTTAATCCCCTGTACCATAATGCCTGTCCTTACATTAATATTTTTTAGTATGTGGAAGTTTATGACTAGGCAGTCTTTCATCCAGGAGGATGTTACACTTGAGTGTTCTGGTCTGTATACAGAGACAATATTCAGTTTAATTTGAAAAAGCACTAATACCTACTGTATTCATCAGGTCCCCTTTCTTGGTTTTTGCCTGCATGTGTCTTTTGTTTATTATGTGTGTGTTTGTTTGGCAGACCAGAAGCTCTGTATGCAGCTGTAAACAAGAAGCCTACCTCCACAGCCTATCCAGTTGGAGAAGGTAAGCTTTTGGCAATTTGTAAATTAGATGAGAATGTCTTAGTTACTGATTAATGATCTGAGTTAACACACAGTTGTATTCTCCCTGTTCATGAGACTTTAGTGTTAAGGTAAGGTTAAGACCAGAATCTACAAAGAGATCAAGAAACTCCACAAAAACAAAACCAACAACCCACTTAAGAGATGGGCCAAGGACTTCAATAGACATTTTTCAAAAGAGGAAATCCAAATGGCCAACAGGCACATGAAAAAATGTTCAAGGTCACTAGCAATCAGGGAAATGCAAATCAAAACCACAATGAGGTTTCACCTCACCCCGGTTAGAATGGCTCACATGCAGAAATCTACCAACAACAGATGCTGGCGAGGATGTGGGGAAAAAGGGACACTAACCCACTGTTGGTGGGAATGCAAACTGGTCAAGCCACTATGGAAGTCAGTCTGGAGATTCCTCAGAAACCTGAAGATAACCCTACCGTTCGACCCAGCCATCCCACTCCTTGGAATTTACCCAAAGGAATTTAAATTGGCAAACAAAAAAGAGGTCTGCACCCTAATGTTTATTGCAGCTCAATTCACAATAGCTAAGACCTGGAACCAACCTAAATGCCCATCAACGATAGACTGGATAAAGAAATTATGGGATATGTACTCTTTAGAATACTATACCGCAGTAAGAAACAACGAAATCCAGTCATTTGCAACAAAATGGAGGAATCTGGAACACATCATGCTGAGTGAAATAAGCCAGTCCCAAAGGGACAAATACCATATGTTCTCCCTGATCGGTGACGACTGACTGAACACCAAGAGGGAAACCTGTTGGAGTGAGGTGGACACTATGGGAAATGGTGGCTTGATCAGCATAGCCCTGACTGTTAATGAACAACTAAATACATTATCCCTCTTAGTAGTTTTTTTTGTCTGTTCTACTTAATATGACTGGTTTAGATCTGTAATTGATGCACAGTTATTCTTAAGTGTTGAAAATTAACTGAAATGTGATCCCTGTTGAACATGGTGGTGGGAATGGGAGAGGGAAGAAATAAAGAT